ACAGCAAAAGGCACTGGATCTCCGAGGCTTGGTCGCCCAGGCTCTCATACGCTGATCCTAATGAAAATCGACTATACCCTTTCACGATATTGAAATGATGATTGCTGCCCGGAGCCATGCGTGCAGCTCGAGGCCAACGATTGTTGCATTGTGTACAGCTGTTTTTTAGTAATTTGCTGCAAATCAATTCACGAATGACACTCTCGCTCGAACATGTGCACCTTGCGAGTGCTGAAACATGTGTGATCTACCCGAAGCCCGAAAACCCCAAACCCTTAGGATAAACCCTTCTAAACGTCAACGATTATAATCCCTAGACCCTTAAATCTGGATTCACGTGTCGCGGCGCCGATTCGCGAGTCGAGCTCTTGATTCGCGTGTCGCGCTCTGGATTCGCGTGTCGCCCTCTCTCATACAGTTTGGGCCTTAAACCGTATGGGAGCGGAACAAGTTCGATTTAGATTCGCGTGTCGCAGACAGGATTCGCGTGTCGCAGGGGCGCGATCTGTATGGGATGGGAACCTGAACTGTATGAGAGAGGTACCTGGATTCGCGTGTCGCGCTCTGGATTCGCGTGTCGCCCTCTGTCATACGGTTTGGGCCTTAAACTGCATGGGAGCGGAACAAGTTCGATTTAGATTCGCGTGTCGCAGACAGGATTCGCGTGTCGCACCTCTCCCATACACTTTGGGCTTCGAACTGTATGTTAGGGGGAACTGAACTGTATGAGAGTGGTACCTCGATTCGCGTGTCGAGCAGAAGATTCGCGTGTCGCAGAGATATTCGTGTGTCCTTGTATACACTAGCCTGTATGGTGCCCAGCAGCAGAAGCTCTGCGGGTCAGCGGCCCCACTCATCTCTTATAGCTGTGCCTCGACTGGACATGTGTAATGACAGGTTTGCGTGTGATCCCAGGGTCTAGGGCTTGATCGGGGCCTTCGTAGGTTAAATTGGTACAAATAAAAGGGAACCCTAAACCCCAAACCCTAAACCCTAAACCCTAAACCCTAAACCCTAAATCCTAAACCCCAAACCCTAAACCTTAAACCCTAAACCCTAAACCCTAAACCCCCCCCCCCAAACCCTAAACCCTAAACCCTAAACCCTAAACCCTAAACCCTAAACCCTAAACCCTAAACCCTAAACCCTAAACCCTAAACCCTAAACCCTAAACCCTAAAAAACCCTAAACCCTAAACCCTAAACCCTAAACCCTAAACCCTAAACCCTAACCCTAAACCCTAAACCCTAACCCTAAACCCTAAACCCCTAAACCCTAATCCCTTTTTAAGACTGGAACTGAGGCCCTAAACCCGAAACCCTAAACCCTCAACCCTACCTATTTTTGGTATATATATATATATCTACTTATACGTATACATGCATGCATATATATATGTATAGGTATACATACATATATATGTGGATCCATTGCAATCCCCCGACACTCAAATAAGTTAATTAGGGTTGAGGGTTTATATAATAAGGGTTTAGGGTTTAGGGTTTTGCGTTTCGGGTTTTGTGTCTAGGGTTTAGGGTTCAGGGATCCGGGTTTCTTACCCGCTACGGCCCGGAGGCTGCAAGCAAAGGCTGGCATGACTGGGTATAATAAAGGAACAATTATCTAATTCATGCGTCGGAACCGACGCAGTACGTTGACTATCGCTCCACCTGTGCATGCAGGGTCATGCCACGTGCCCAGACAGTCTAGCATTTTTGTGATCAGTGGCCTGTAGCTACTCTGGAAGCTTCTGAAGCACAAGGCCGGGCAAGATCGGGTTCTGTACTTATGCTCCCTGTGCAATATGTCACATGCATATTAAATTGGGCCAACGTATACGTAATTCTTGCTGTCGAGTTTCCAAGCAGGGCGATGGTCAGCCCTGATGCAGCAGATGCTGAATCTCAGCACGCAGCGCCTGCAGTGGAGAGGGTCAAGACAATGCCAAGCATTTCGATGCTGGGCCGATTGGAATTGCCTTCTAGCGTGGAACTCTCTTCACGTATGTAAATAGTATCCTTCGACCGAGGCTGGCCCTTGGTGCAAGCTCAGTGACAAGACTGCATACACATAAGCATGCGTGCCGGTTGCAGGCATATGTGGTGCAGAAAAAAACACAGCGCCTAGACTTCTATCCTGTGTCTTGAGGCAAACCTGAAAACGAAAGCCCCCAGCCGAATCTCCGATGCAAGCACAGCTGCTGAGTCGGAAGATGGAGAGGTGGGCTGCAAGAAACGCTGCAGCCTTGCTTCAGAATCCTCGGCTGCTTCGAAGAAGCAAAAGCATGCGGCCGAGGAGGAGTCTTGTTTTAGGGTTGACAGGGGATCTGCATGTGTATGTCTCCTGAAGTGTGTGTATATATATATATATAATAGGGTTTAGGGTTTAGGGTTTAGGGTTTAGGGTTTAGGGTTTAGGGTTTAGGGTTTTATAACGACCGAACCGGAGAGAATGAAATTAAGAGATGACAAGATAAGAAAAAAATATATATATATATATATATGTATATGAGAGAGAGAGAGAGAGAGAAGACAACCATGGTATACATATATATGTATATATTATAATTAATTTAAGGGGAATATATATATATATATATAAGCAAAGAGAAAAAGAAATTAAGATATCTAGGAGAGAAACAGATCGATATTGATTTTAGAAGCGAGGACAAGCTGAAGCCAGGAAAGCCGTGCAAGGATGCTGCAAAGCCATCTGTGACTGTGCCAGCAAAGGAACAGGCCAAGCCCCGCAAAGAAGCAGAGAAGCCAGCAGCAGCAAAGGAGAAGGCCAACCCACGCAAGGCGGCCGAACCAGCAAAGGAGCAGGCCAAGCCACGCAAGGACACTGAGAAGCCAGCAGCCGCCACAGCAAAGGAGCAGGCCAAGCCAGCAACTGCCCAAGCAAAGGAGCAGCCCAAGCCAGACAAGGACACTGAGAAGCCAGCAGCCGCCCCAGCAAAGGAGCAGGCCAAGCCACGGAAGAACACCGAGAAGCCAGCAGCTGCCCCAAAGGAGCAGGCCAAGCCACGCAAGGACACGGAGAAGCCAGCAGCAGCAAAGGAGCAGGCCCAGCCACGGAAGAACACTGAGAAGCCAGCAGCCGCCCCAGCAATGGAGCAGGCCAAGCCACGCAAGGACACGGAGAAGCCAGCAGCCGCCCCAGCAAAGGAGCAGGCCCAGCCACGGAAGGACACTGAGAAGCCAGCAGCCGCCCCAGCAAAGGAGCAGGCCAAGCCACTCAAGGACACGGAGAAGCCAGCAACCGCCCCAGCAAAGGAGCAGGCCCAGCCACGCAAGGACACGGAGAAGCCAGCAACCGCCCAAGCAAAGGAGCAGGCCAAGCCACGCAAGGACACGGAGAAGCCAGCAACCGCCCCAGCAAAGGAGCAGGCCAAGCCACGCAAGGACACGGAGAAGCCAGCAACCGCCCAAGCAAAGGAGCAGACCAAGCCACGCAAGGACACGGAGAAGCCAGCAACCGCCCCAGCAAAGGAGCAGGCCAAGCCACGCAAGGACACGGAGAAGCCAGCAACCGCCCAAGCAAAGGAGCAGGCCAAGCCACGCAAGGACACGAAGAAGCCGCCGACTGTGCCAGCAAAGCGCGCCAGGGACCCGGAGAACTTGCCAACTGTACAGGCCAAGGCACGCAAGGACGTGGAGGGGCCAGCAGCAGCCGCCCCAGCAACGGAGGAGCCACCAGCAGCAAAGGAGCAGGACACCAAGACACAGGACCCAGACGCTGCGCCGGTAAAGGAGCAAGCTCCGGCACCCACCCCACCAAAGCTTGCAAAGGACACAAAGGACACAAGGAAGCCAGGAGCTGCCCCCAAGAGCAAGTCGAGCCAGCACAGCCGCCAGCGCAGCCGTGTGGCTGAGCTGTTGAAGGCCAGCAACAAGCGCAAAGCAGAGCAGACAGCAAAACCTATGAGGCGTGTGCGAGCCAAGACAAACTTGGGCGAGGCGCGGTCGGCTTTATAAATTCTAATGCATGCATGCAGACCAATGGTCCGTCACTCAGTTCCCTATCTTGTAGGGTTCTCACAGAAGCAACACTCTGTTTTTGCGTGGCTTCCCCACCAAAAACACGTTGTCGCATCCTCTGCAATTCTGAATGAAGTAACACATTTTGTAGCTTCCCATGATGTAGGGTTCCCCCAGAAGCAACATCTCATATTCTCGTGGCTTTGCTACCATATTTTAATATATTATAAATTTATATATATATATATATATATATATATATATATTAAAATCAACCTGGTAAATATCGAACGCTCGGCCAAAAATGTCCCTGAGCCCTATATGTACAATTCGACCGGCCCCTACAACCCCAAAAACTAAACCCTCAACCCTAAACCCTAAACCCTAAGCCCTAGAACGCATGGGTAGTATACTCCTCAGGCAGACGAGAAGGCAAAGAAGCCAGCTGCGGAAGCGAAGGATCGAGATGTCCCCTGATCGAGCCCTATATGTGCATTCGACCGGCCCCTAAACCCCTAAACCCCTAAACCCCTAAACCCCTAAACCCCTAAACCCCTAAACCCCTAAACCCCTAAACCCCTAAGCCCTAAACCCAAAACCCGAATTTTAAGTCTAAAGCCTAAAACCCATAAGCCGAAGCAGCCATGCATGTGAGGAAGCGCGAGATCCCCTGAGCCTGTGGCCAGGACCCTACAATAAATATACCCGGGTAGCCGAGGCTATAGCTAAATACATATGTACAATCTACCACATACCTTACAATGATTGCATCAGGGCGACGGAAAGGAAGAAGAGGCTGAGCCGAAAGCTCGTGGCGGCCAGAAAAAGGTCCTGACTCCTGCGGAGCGGGAAAGCTTGAAAGCAATGTCAGAGCCAAGTGAGCCTACTCCAAAATAGTACCGTTTTTTTTCACATGCACACAAACCCAAACCCTAAACCCTAAACCTCTAAGCCCTAGATCCCTTTTAAACTCTATAACCCTAAACATGTATATGCGTGTGTGCGGCATTACCCAAGGACATGGCCTACGATGACAGAAAGCGACATTTTGCGCGACTGGGGAGATCGTGCAAAATGGATGCCGAACTTGCTGGAAAGTACAAAATCATGAAGACAGACTCCGAGCGGTGCCGAGCTGAAATTCTAACTTGCCTTTCTGCCACGTTGCCTTTCTGCCACGCGTGCTCATGTGCTGCGATTTGTATTGATTGTGCTGTCAGGTTCCAATTCCTGAAGGACTGGCTGTTGTCCTCGGCCTCGGGCATCAGCACAAAGGAAAGGATTGTGGATGTTGCAAGCGACGAAAACAAGGACAGATACCGGCTCGTCACTTGCATGCATTCAAGGCCTATCACAGCTGCATGAATGTCTATGTTAATACCGATCATGGTCTGTGCAAGTACACGCATGCGATCAGATGACAGTGATGCAGCTCCAAAAAGAATTTCCTGGCCCGGATGGAGAAGAATTTATTCGCATCATTCGAGCAAGCCCCGTGGCAAATTCAGACTGATATTGTCGTATATTTTCCCGGCCGCGGATCGGTCGGATCCGGTCTGTTGCATTTTCTCATGAGTTGTATATCAAGGTCAGGAAGGCTTGCCCCATCCGCAAGCGCCTAAGTTCGACCCTGCGACTCGCTACCGCGTCTTGAAGGACACCTTGAATGACAAGGGCCACCTGAGGAGTTCGGGAACTGAGGTGCGAAATTCGGGTTCAATATTAAAAATTGGGGAAAGAGGTTCAGGGTACGTTTTGGGTACCAGGGTCTAGCGTTTAGGGTTACCCGAATTAAACCCTTTACCCTAAACCCGAAACCTAAATATATTGGGTTTAGATTTAGGGTCTCCACTTCTCTCCACTTCTCTCTGATCTCTCTCTCTCTCTCTCTCTCTCTCTCTCTCTCTCTCTCTCTCTCTCTCTCTCTCTCTCTCTCTCTCTCTCTCTCTCTCTCTCTCTCTCTCGCTCTCTCTCTGCAGTGCTTTAGGGTTTAGGGTTTGGGGTTTTAGGGTTTAGGGTTTAAAGGGTTTAGGGTTAGGGTTTAGGGTTTAGGGTCTAGGGTTTTTGGTTTAGGGTTTAGGATTTAGGGATTAGGGTTTAGGGTTCAGGGTTCAGGGTTCAGGGTTTAGGGTTTAGGGTTAAGTTCTCTCTTGCCAGCTTGCTCTCAACGCTCGATCTAAACATATATGCTCCTGCGTAGGTCGAGATGGAGAGCTCGGTAGAGGATGAAGCCGCCCGCGCGGCTCTACAGCCTGCCATCACGGAGTTTTGCAACGCGATGTCTGATGGAATGAAAGAAATGGGGCAGGTGAAAGTGCCGAAGAGAAAGGAGAAGAAGGTCTTGACAGAGGATCAGCTGGCCGACAAGCAGTTGACCAAAATCTTCAAAACGTCATGGGCTCAGATCATTTATAGGGGTGGTTACACATGGGCTTGGGGAAGAATTCGTACATGTACACACAAGTGGCCCGACCTGTGCCCCGAAGATGCCCAAATCTGCTACCGAGAAAGAGCTCGGACGTCATTGCCTTGGATTTCGAATGCATTCGGGAGGTTCCATTCTTTGGGGGAGGGGCCATGGGCCAAAGCAGTAGTTCTGGGAGGAGGTGTTTAAATGGTCACTGCCATAAATGTTGTTCTGGGGATCCATGCACGTATATATATATATATATACATATATATATATATATATCTGTGTGTATATCTTTTAAACATTTTTTTTGAGCCCGGGCCCGGGCTATGAGGTTCATATCAAACCCTAATTAAACCCTATAACCCTAAAGCCTATATATATACCCCAAACCCTAAATTTAACCCGATAACCCCAAACGTGCAATTGTACTGTATAAGATCAAGCCCTCCTGCACTCCATTTTCAAGTGTCCCATCACCAGCCCTGGAGCCCGGAATTCAAAACGTACCCTTCGTGCATGCCCAGTTGGATGGGTCTGCCCAAGAAGATCGACGAGCTCGTCGACGCCCTCTCTTCTGTCAAGTTCTCGACGGAGCTGTCTGACGAGCTGAAGAAGCACAAGGCTAGCATCGATGGAAGAGAGCAGTATTGGGATGGGCAAGTCAATGAGAACTCCACGGTGGATGAGAAGCGTTCGGTCCTATCGATGATGGAAGAAGAGCTACGCCCCGTACATCAGTGCTTCCAGGAAGCAAAAAGGCGCATCGGCAAGAACAACAAGGCCGACACGAAATCGGAAGCTGGCGAGTCAACCGATCGGGACTGATCGGTCTTACGCTTCTTCATGCAGGCACGACCCCACCATGCATTACTGCACGCGTGCATATATACATGACTCGCTTAAGATCATGTGTGATCCCATCGATCTGCAGGCCTCCGCAAATGGTTGCCCAACGCTACACGGCCGAGCCTTCGGATCCTTGGATGGCTGGGGAAGGTTCCGTGGGTACTTGAACCCGATATAAACCATGCACCGTCTGGGGTTGAGGGTTTAGGGTTTGGGGTTTAGGGTTTAGGGTTTAGGGGGGTTTAGGGTTTAGGGTTTAGGGTATTAGGGTTAAATATTTGTAAAAACAATTTTTTGAAACCCTAGAATAATAATTATATATAGATATATGTATATACCTATCCCGATTATAGTTTAATATATATATATATATATAACCCTTTAAACATTAAACCCTAGCCCTAAACCCTAAGCCCTAAGCCCATATTAAACCCTACGCCTCTTGTAAACTCTAAAACCAATATTGGTGTACGATTGCGCGCAGGTTCACTGATCATGATCTTTTCTGTGCATGGTCGACATCGACCGACGATACTATGGCCTGGGCTGCATTTCATTGCATTCAGGATAATTCCCTGCACGGGGCTTTTCACTGTCACGCGTGCGCTCATGCGCTTGTGGCCTTTACGCATGCCTGTAGCCTGGATCCCGTGGGCGTTGAATGCCGGAGCTACATTAGCCTAGGTCTTTAAACCGCACACCTAAATCGGATCTCCCCGGCCTTCCCACGTTGCGAGCCAGTCAGTAGACCATTTCCCAATCCAGATTCTGGATGCAGTGCGCTTTGTGCAGATAAATGGGTCGAGCTTATGCTACGACAAGCAAGCATGCATGCATGCCATACACTCTGCGTTGCGCACAGATCACGATCGGCGGATTCTGTGTCGACCCTTGCAGCTGCACAGGCCATGCCTTAAGTTGATGGTGAACCCTGCACCACTGAGTCGATACCCCCTGAACCCTGAAACCACAAACCCTCCATGCCTGTAATAGGGATACATCGATCTCTATCTACCCAAACTATCATGCATAATTCCCTAAACCCTAAGCCCCAAATCCTAGACCCTTAACCCTTATAAAACTCAACCCTGGATCCCTACTTTGATTTTTTGTCTCGGTACCCTAAACTTTAGAGCCACACCCTCGTAAATCCCTTGCGCAAGCCCCGTTGCCACGACGATGTCTGCATTCATCTCGATGTGGCCGGCCTGCGTATGGGATGGATATGTGATGCATGGACTTAATCGAGGAGATTCTAGATCTGGGGCGAACACTTTCGACGAAGAAGCTGAAGGAGCTTGTTGACTCCATTGCAAGTCGTGTTCCACACGGTTTTTTGCCGCAGCCTGGCTACATGTGCTTTACGTCAACCTCGTATACATGCATGTACGCTACATGCGTGTGCCACCCCACCATTTTGTTCTGTTCCCAGGGCAAACCTCGTTGACCTCGCGGGGTACACGAAGGACAACAACATCTTTCGCAACTTCAACAGGTGGGTGGAGCGCCAGGAATGGCGGAAAAGCTTGCCGCAGCCGAGGGAGAGTCTAGGCTTGAACCCATCTTTTATAAACATACGTGCATGCATGCATGCATCACGATTTCGCCATCCGAGGGTCGAAGTGATTCTCCGCGACAAAACGAAGAAGAAGGAAGAGCAGGACTACATTGGAAAATGGCACATGTTCTTTCCTCACGAAGTGCGCTGATGACCGCAATTCATCGTTCGGTCCACATGTGCACATGATTATCTGGTTATCAGCGCTGTGCATGTTCATCAATTTAATCTGTGCGACCCAAGGATCCACTGTATACATGGCTATTCCTTCGAGCGATTTCAGAAGTTCTTTCTCGGAGAGCCTGGGGCGGCGTGCCTTTAAGCTAGCAGATGTCGATATGTGCATGTGACACACAGGTGCATGCGTGCAGTACCTGCTATGCTATACAGGAACTGGAGCGGTTCTGGCAGCACAATCGCAAAACAGCGTCACTGGCCTATGTTTGCTGTCGAAGTGCATGTGGCAGTAGGCATGCGTGTGTGGTCAGAAAGCATCGATCCCAGGTGGTTCAAAAACCACCCACTACTGGCCGGCCTCCACGTCTCTTGCCAGCATTCCATCATTGTTCCAGCGAGTCCTCGGATCCATGTCTTTGTACAAGGTTACCGTCGGGTTAATATGGTGTGCGCTGCATGCGTGCGTGTTAATTCTTGCTAGGCCGTCGGCCGGGTAACTTAGGGTCAGGGTTAAGGGTTTTTTGGGTTTAGGGTTTAGGGGGTAGTTTAGGGTTGAGGGTCAACGATCGAATGCTCCAGGAGAACGATCTTTCACGAGTTGTTCCGCTCGAAGTCCATGGTGACGATGCGGAGAGTCATCGACGCCGATCTTTTCTTGTCGTTAGTTTGAGATCCCCCATCACAAAGGGGGCAACGATGAGGACTCTGTTTCCAATGTATATCATGGACAGTGATCAGACGGGATCTGGCACAGCGCCACGGCTGCAATTCTGCAATATTGGTACACGGGGAAATACGATCCATATACACTCGAATTTAAACCACATATATATATATATACCTGGTGTGCATGCATGCATGGCTTAGGTGGCGCAACTGGACATGCACCTCGTGTGGTCCCTTTCGCAACTACAACACGGCACTACGTTTAGCTTTGACTGCTGGGGCAGACCTTTGGTGGATGCGCCGGCGCCGTACACACTTGCGGGTGGGTATCGCTTCGTGCTTTCCGGTTTGAAGGGTGACCAACAATTTCTGAAGAAGACACTATGCATCGACCAGTCATGGGTCAGCGACAACATCTGCTGGTACTGTGAGGTCAGTGTGTGTGTGGTCGAAACCGCACCAACCCCCCCCCCCGCCCCCGAAACAAAATAAACCCTTATAATTGGTACCTCATCCCTGAAAGGCGACTAGAACCTCTGGATCGCCGCTACTCTACACAAATCATGGACGTCGGGCGGCACACCGTGACACGCAACCTGACGCACAGCGATGTAGACAAATTGTGCGGACATGTAATATTGCACGGAGCTGTTTCAAGCCTAAACCCGTATAAACCTCAAGCCCTCTATAGCTAATATATAACCCTAAACGCTAAAAATACCCTACATCTATCGAGGATCCGATCGGACGCCGATTTCGTGCAAATGGCCCGGAAATCTGCATGGATTCTTGTGCCGGGCATCTCCCTCAGCAGGGTCTGGCCAGATATCCTTCATGTCATCGATCTCACGCTCGCCCCGGAGGCAGCTGCTTCCGCAGCCCGGCATGGCTGAAGCAATGCTGAGTGTAGATGTGGTTTTGAGCTAGGGATATCGGGTTAGGGTTTAGGGTTCAAGGCTTAGAGGAATAAGCTCCTGGAGTTATAAGCTCCTTGGGTTTCGGCGACAGCTGCTAACTCCACGCAGCTTCGATTTAAATGGATTTAAATGGGTTTAAAGGGTTTAAGCTTTAGGGTTTTAGAATTTTAGGGTTGTAGGGTTGTAGGGTTTTGGGGTTTTAGGCTTTCGGGCCTTGACGTCATAATGGCAATCTTAATTGTTGTTTGTTCTTCCATATCGAGGCATTACTGGAGCTGACGGAGTCGCAGCTGCCCTGGTCTGGCACGTCCCAGCAAAGCCGCTTGAGTGCTGCGTACGCGGACTACATTGCCATGTGCAAGAATGTTGGTGTTCGCAACGCGGCATGCAGTAAAAACCCTAAACCCTAATCCCCTAATTTTAAACCCTAAACCCGCTCCGATTATCCATTTATTATATGAGGGTGTCCACGTTGCGTTGCAATTCTCATGAGGTGCTCGGGCTCCTCCTTTCCAACTGGATGACATCAAGGCGAATTCTCAACGATTTCCTACGTTTGCTCAGAAGCACCTGAGCGGCGCTGATGCTCGACAAGGAATGAACATCTATATTTCCCCAATATGCGTGAAAACACCTCGATCTCTAAACACATGTCATTTTCACTAGTCGCTGCAGCCGAGGAATCTGTCGTACTTGTGCGGTGGTTGGCGGATGTGTGTGCCCGAGAAGCGGTGCGTTGCCAAACCCAAAATGCGAACCTCCGTGCGGCTGTCTTCCTTGCACTGGCTTCCTATCGTGCGGTCTTAAGCGACGCTGATTTCTATCTCACCGAGCTGGAACTTCGAAGTCTGGAATATTGGAACGACATGTATCAAGATAGCTTAAACTGTGTGGACCTGAGCATCATATGCTTCTCCACCGCGTGCAGATTGTCGCGATCGAGATCTTAATCATGTTGCGGACTTGTGGACTCGATCTGTTGCTGCAGGTTTGGCTGCAGAGGCCATTCACGACAGAAAGATGCTCTGGAAGGTGCGCCCCAAGTGTCATCAGCTCCCTTGCCGCACCCTCTGCACGCATGTATATATGCGTCAAGTCTGTCTCGCATGTTTGTATTAATGGACAACTCCCGCACTGCTGCTTGCTCTCGCCTAGGATGGAACACATGACTTTCGATGCTTCACCACAAATGAATCCCCTTCAAACCTCAAACTATTCGGAAGAAGACCTCGTGGGGAGGATGAAGAAGTGTCTTGCCACGAAATTTCAGCACAAGTGCTGGAGTGACCATGATTCGGATCCTCTTAAGACATTTCATCTAAGGTTGGCGATAATGTGTCACCCCAAACGGCTCGGGCTTACAGTGCTCCAGCGGTATGCGTGGCTGGTGTGTGTGCACTGGTTGCGCACGGACTAAAAATGCGCGAGTGCAAGTTGCATACCTTCAGCCTGGGTCTTCAGTCATGCACAAAAGAATAATTGTACCATTTCGTGTACATCTGAACACGAGGGGGAATGTTCCCTTATCGTCCTCCCGGCGAAATGACCTGTTTTTAGACCCCGGTACGGGAAACACGTCGGTTGGAATGTCCTGGTAGAGTCTCTACTGCCTTTCGATATGGTACAAGCAGTCTCTGAGTACTCTAATGAGCAAATCAGGCTTCATTGACTTGGTGAGACAATCAGCGATCATGGTGGCCGTTGAGGTCCACGTGATCCTGTCAGCCGCATCAGGGTAACGGTCAATCAACTTTGATCCGTCATCATCGAACAGTGCCTGACGCAATGCGTTCAGCTCAATTTGCAATCTCTTGTCTTGAACCTTTGATGGAACTTCACTGTTCAAATTATCAGATAACGACCTGCAGTCCGTTAACATCAGATGCGGTACGGCTGCTCTCGACTTGTCATACCAGTCGGAACCACTGCTGCCGCAGTCGTAGAGCTCGGCTAAGAGGGCCCGAATCCTGTCTCCGGATTCCTGTGCGTTTTGCAGAGCGTAGGTCTCAGCCTGGAGAGTTGCTCTGCATACTCTCTTGATCGTGGTGCTGCTGTAGCTCACGAGCATCACGTCAAAATCGCAGTTGCTGGGATCAGTCAACTGCTTCCTTGGAGCAAGGAAGTGAATGCGTCCTTGCTGTGATCGCATTCCGGGCTCAGCGGCAAAACTAGCGTCTGAAGCCGTCAGTACGCCAAGTTGCATGAATTCACAGATTCCATGCTTGTATCTGATCTTAAGATCCTTGCCGGTGAGGGCAAGTTCCAAGACCTTGTTTGCTTCCTTAAGGATAGCAACGCTGGCGCCCTTGACCTTGGATTGGAGGTAGGACACCTTGTAAAGTATGTCCGGTCTCCCCTGTCGAGCTATCCAGCTCAAACTCCCCACCACGGATCGCAACTGTCGTTCTTCACCTTGAGTGATGGGATCGGATGGCTTGCGGCTCTTGGCGATGTCGATGTAGGTGATTCGACGTGTGTTGTCCGTCACGTCCAGCAGTACGTCACTTCCTGCACGATCGAACTGCTTTCCACAGAAGCGGAGTCGATCTCGCTCACGTCGTCCGACCTCGAATCGCTCTAAGAGTCGATCCATGATGGCATCTCCAGTCTCCGTAGACGCCCACAAGAAGTCGTCTACATGCGTGGTGAGAAGCAGGTCCACCTTGCCATTCGTGGTGTGGTAGTAGAACGCAGGAAAAATGCGGCTCGCCTTCAAACCAACGTCCTTGGCGTCCTTGTCCACCCGCTTCCAAAAACCACGTCCACTGTCTCGGAGACCGTAGACAGGCACCCTGACCAGGAGCATGGCCTCTGGGTCCACACCGGGCAAGCCGCCTCGGGGTTGTCGCATGAGGATAATCCGGTCAATGGGCAGGGCCTGGAAGTACGCATTCTTGATGTCGGAGCTCTGGGTAGGGACTCCTTCACAAGCTGCAAATGCACATACCATCGCGTGGGTCTCTAGGTCCGATGTAGGTGAGTCCGTACGGATCCCATCATCGGCCTCAAAATTCCCGCAACTAACGAGTCGGGATTTGAATTCCGGAACGAAGTTCTCGGTGTGCTGCTCGTGAATGTTTTTCACAGTATCGACCCACTTCGAAGGCAGTGCTATGTGTCCTTCGGCTAACAAGTCCTCGAGGATCTTGCCTGAGACAGGGATCGCCGCCTGGAACGATTCATACTTCAACCATTCTTTCTTCCGCGACTCGTCGATCTTTTTCTGGATAGACGGTGTGCAGTCGAAGTAGTTGAGCGTTCCTGGCAGGTCCTTCATCTCATCCTTCGTCAGTCTTGTTGCCATGAAGGCCATAAACTTCGCTCGTGGCTTCGCCCTAGTGGCGTTCAACGCACCATCTGTGTCGTTGACATAACGCGCTGTCTCTGAGTCGCGTATATTCTGCAGTCTCTCCCGGATCTGCACTGGTAAGTCGTCCTGGATGTCGTAGGTTGACGGTCTGCGACTTCCACCAGGGGTTCGCTCTCCTTCTGGTTCTGCAACACTAGGCCTCCTTCTTGACGTTGAGGTAGTCGACGAAGTAGCTGCATGCACACGCCGCTCAGGTGGTGACCTGGACCTTTCTCTCGTAGGCTCATCCTCTTCTTCGAGGATAGAGGGTAGAGGAGGTCCGCCTTGATCCTCCTGAGCTGGTGCTTGCGGAATGAGCGCTTGCTCATCCTCTTCTATTGGGGCTGCATCCTCCGCTCCAGGTTCGCGAACATCGTCGAAGTTCTGCTGTCCTCCTAGAATCTCATCTGGGAAAACTTGCTTGCCATGGAGGATGTCAAAGGCCAGTGCTTCTGCATCCGACGCGGGTCTAATGTTCTGCGCTGAGGCTAGAACAGGAACGTTCTCACAAAGGAGCCAAACTGCTTCCTTTTCGCGTCCCTCGAACCCAATGATTCGGGATGCAGGAGACCAGGTCGTCTTCCCGGCCTTTGTGCGCCTAAAGGTCACAACATCTCCAACCCGATACTCGCCGGGTATTGGCCTTGCACTGCGGAGTGAGGCCTTCTGCACTCGCTTCGAGGTGTCGAGCTGCACAAATGCCTTCTTCGCTTCGGCTCTGCATTGGTGCTGGAGTGCAAAGGCTGACTCTGGATCTATGGAGTCCTGAATGGCTCCTAGGTCTGCGTGCCCATCTTCACTGAGGATAGATGGCAGTTCACGTGGCGCTCGTCCAAGCACCCACTGAGCCGGTGAGTAGCCTCCTTGCCTGAGTAGGCTATTCTTCACCAAACAGGCCTCATCGAGTACCTGCTGCATCTGTTGCCAACCATGTGCTTGAACTTGGGCAGCTGTCTTCCGGACCATAGCCTTGAGAACGCCTCCATGTCGTTCAACTCGTCCAATTGCTTCTGGAGTCTCCAAAGGCGCATGGGTGACCTGCACTCCATGGGCTCCCATATACTGGGCCAGGATCCCGCGGTTGTGCAATCCGCGGTCACACTTCATGGAGCTAGGATGGCCAGCCCAAGTGATCCATCGCCTCTGGATGGCCTCCAAACACTTGGAGCTAGTTGGGGTTCCAGGACCTTCACGAACAATTTCGGCCAATTGGAAACATGTGCCGAGGCACACCAAGTTCAAAACTTGATACTTGGTACCAGATGCGTCCAGGATCTCGAAGATGTCCACGCCGAGGGTGTGGTTGAACACGTAGGCGCCGGGCAACGATGTCGTGTGAGCATTTCTTCTCGGCTTCGTCTCCTCACACTCGATGCATCGGTGGTAACGCAGTCCTTCAAGGTACTGCGGATCAACCTTCGCAGCTCTGAGAAGGTTCATGAGCACCTTCCTGGGAGCATGGCCAAACTGGCGATGCAGCCGACGGATCGCTACCCTGATGCGCTGAGGTAGCTTCTTCCATCCGGCTCGTCGTTCCGCCTCCTGAATAGGTAGGTTCGGAACCTCGGCTTCATCAAGCTCGAGATCTTCTTGAATGGCCTCTTCACCCGGGTCCATTTGTGCTCGGTCCTCGACGTCCTCGACGCTGTCGAGGGGCTCCATCTCGGCATCCTCCCATGCAGGGTAGGACGCGCTAACCAACGCAATGGCTGTTTGATCGGTAACATACTCGATCAACCAGTTCGCAAATTCATTGTCGAACACATCATGCATTCCCTTCGGGGGTACATATGGGAATCCCCCGTTGCACCATCCTTCGAATGCTAATGCCAAGTCTTTGCTGTTTGACATATACGAAACGTCTCCATGTCCCAACTCGGGGTACATGGGAATCGAGAAGTAACTCCATCTCTCAGTATCCGCAACATCAATCACCAAGAACTCAGAACCTGAACACTCACAATGCGAAACAACTTCATCCATCAACTCGCTGTGATTCAAACAATCATCCCGATACTCAATCGCAACAACAATGACACTCGGGCTGCTTCCCTGAAGAATTCGCCGAATCCCTTCTGCCGTCCATCCAACCTCTGCGTTCACTCCGGTGTCGAAGGTGTTGAAGTCGTTGTCCTTGTCGAGGTGGAGGACGTCTCCGGATCGTCCTCTTTGAGCGTCTTCCGATCGCCCTTGCTGCTGTCCCATGTCCAGGTAGTAGAGCTCGTAGTCGAAGTAGAGTTCCTTGCGCAGGAGCCACGCCCTACTCCCATACCTAGTGCAGACTTAGGCAGGGGTAGGACATGATCTGGCGAAGTGCCTAGATCTAGGTCTGGACTAACCCCTAGACCCTTCTGCAGACACTCCGGTGCAGGCATCCGGGCGTCTTCGAGCGCTATCTTCTTGTGCTCAGAGAAGAGGTCACGGGCGATCCTCTTCCATCTCTCCAGGATATTTTCTTCTCTGGAGAGGATTGCTGGGTCGATGACTCCAACATGTGCAACTCTCGCCCAAGAGTCAGGACTACCCCTGGGCTTGGTTCGTCGTTGCTGAGCATACGACTTCGGCTGATCGCTTCCTTGAGTCGACCATGCATGACATTCGGGGTCATACTGATCCCCATAGCCATTGACTCCATGATGTCGTCGGTGAAGATGCTGAGGACGGACTCGACCTCGTCGGAGTTGAGTTCGCGGGTCGCATCTTCCGAAGTGGTGTACTGGATCATGGAGAGGGCCTCTTCCGTAGCCGCCAAGGCCTGCTCTGCAGCCTTCCTTCTTTCCTTCTGGAATTCGGCGGGGACCTCGTCTACGAAGGTTCCGCACTGCTTGCAGAACGTGCGGGAAACCGATCGTGAACTGCCTCTACGATCCACCACATCATGGGTAGGTGATCTGACGCGGCTCTTGGCTCACGTTACCACAGTCCCGGCACGTCTTCCTGAGGATGTTCATGGTCGAGCCTAGGTGCGAGAAGTCGTTGCATCCCTGGGCACAGCGCTCCAGTGGAGGATTCGGGGGCTTCTTGCTCCCCTTCTTGTTCTTCACCCGGGGCACATAGTGTCCCTCGGGAAGACCTTCGCCAGCTCGTGTGACCACCTCGCCGTTCTGGATGGTGTAGTATCTCGAGAACCAGGCCAGGAAGTCTTGGAGTTGGCGACTCGGGTTCGTCTGAAGCTGGGCCCAGGTGACGTACTCAGCGTTCGACGCCACTTCAGCATAGGTCTTCCCTCGGTGCTGACCGAGGTAGAACTTCCTATCTCCACCTTCCATCTCCATCGGGATCGGCGTGGGTCCCGTTGGGTACCCTGATGCTGCAGCCTTGCTCCTTGTTTTAGAGACTGCACCAGCTGTGGCGCGCACAACATAGCCCGATGGGTCTATGTCCGGTGTGCCAGACGGTATGTCGAATCCGTCGGGGCGACTCAGGTCCGCACGTGCCATGACAGCTACGTTGGCGGCCTTTCCACCGGACTTGCCAGTTCCGGCAGGGAACTTGCACTCTGGGTCGCCTGCCCAGTGTCCTGTTCCGCCACAGCGCAAGCATTTCGACTTGGCCTTCAGCGCCTTCAGCTTGTCCTGGAGAACCAAACGTCAGAGTTTTTTTGGAACATTTAGCCAAAAATCCAACAACGTCACTTTTTCGTTCAGAAAGAAGGCATCATGAAAATGAACATATGAAATGCGAATATTTTGGGTGGGCCTGCCATGCCGGGCCAAAAGGAAGTAGCGGCAGATTTAAAGCGCGAGCTTTGAGTTAAGTGTGACATCCATGATTCTGTGAGACCTGTCTTTGCACTAGCCCGGGTCCAAACACTGAGGAGGCATTACGGCTACCTTTTCTTCGAGCATGCGTGCCAATGAATTTAAGTTTGGCTTGTCTTCTCAAGCTTAACTGTGTTTTTTTCAACATCAGCCACTTCCAATATACATTTTGTTCAATGTTTGACATCAAAATGATATGGCACGTCTTCCAGGGCAAAGGCATCTATCGTACAACCCATAGATCGGATGGTACGATGGATCTACATGTCTTCACTCGAACCATTGGTGCTTTGCGAACAGACATTCTTGAATGTAGTCTTTAGATTCCAAGCTGTTTTTTTTCGTCAAGCGGACAATTCGCGCAGCCAGAGACCACAGGCACTTGCCAGGTATCTCTTCATCGCCATCTTTCCTGCTGTGGCAGCATGACAGCCTGAAGCCTAGGCGTTCGAAGGCAAGAAGCGAGGACAGAAAAGTAAACAAAATTGCAAAATTCTCGGAGACATGCATAAAGAGGATAATTGCCAGCCATGCACGTAGTCGCACATTATGCGGATGAAGTCCTCATCCCCATAACAGGCGTTGAGTTGCGGATTCAAGCGGCATTGTTCAAGTCGACGCCAGACATGAAACCACCCATGTATCCTGAGATGTACTTAAAACAAAAATTAAAAGCTCACCGTTTCTGAGGCCAGTCCCAAAGTACACATTGCACAGAGCGACAATATATAGTGTTGACAAAAAGTCTTCGGCCGAACTTTGTATTGTCTGCGCTGGGCTGTGTAGTTCGAGTGGGCAAGCCACGTGTAACCGAGCACAAATCTCCGGGCAGCCGCCACGCCCACAGGCACACGTTCAGGATGGACATCAAATGGGCGTTCGTCAAGTATATGGATATTTTTGCGCAGAGCCCGCGCAGTCCTTGGAAGACGGAACCATAGAAAACCATATACACAGCCCTGCGATGCTTCCTGGGCACATGCCAAGTACGGAGAAATACTCATAGTCAGTAGATCCACGCGGGGATTTCTCGACCACGCTGGATACGTCTGCCTCAGCTGTTAAGAAACTGGAAGGACTTGTGCTGGAGAATCTGACGGCTAGGAGAGTTTACTTATTGAAACACATATTTCATTGGTGAATCAGGGCACTAGAAACATGCAAACCAGCTTGATGTCCCAACCTTTCGCGTTCAGAGTGGGAAAGCCTCCATCATCCCCAAAGGAGATCTCATCCATTGCGAGCTCCAGATCGTGAGACTGTGCCCATGTCTTCAAGAGCATGAAGGCTTTGTCCATTTCATTCTTGGGGAAGAAGTCTTGAAGACAAGACGCAGCAAAGTTTACAGCAAAGCCTCTAAAGGCAATGTGCAACGTGTCTGGCCAGATGAGGAAATTCGTAAACCCATCCACATCCAACAGTGGGGTCGGAAATTGGCCCCCTCGCAACAATGCCTGAAACTCCTCACACAAAGTCTGATGCCTACATCCATACACGTGTGCACTGAGGAAACGTGCTGGTCAGCTGAATTCTCCTGCGATGTCTCTTCCGAATCCATCCACCCAGAATCGTCATGAACATTCAAGTAGTGGCAGGAGCCCTGCGCCAGAGCGACGGCATGGTCAGCAGGGTCGGCTGTGCTCGCAAGCCTGAGCAATGTGTGACAATGTGCGGACCCATAAACAATCTGACCGTCACATTTTTGAAAATTCGAATTGCAAGCAAGGTACTTGCACACATGGCACATCCTGACAGGAAAATTCGAGACACCCATGAACGGTGTACTGACTGCTACCTTAAGATAATGCTCCAGAAGTCATATCTCACTTCGTCTCCTGTTACCATGGCGTGCACCATTGCCACCCCATGGCCGAGTACTTAGCTGCAACAACGACTGTGTATATACATGATGGATTGTTGAACAAGCAGGAACTGACAACTGACCCGCTGAGTGCTCGTCAACTTGAAAACTTGGTGAAGCCACTTCTGGTCTCCCTTGATGCCAAAAAAGCGGACCGGACAAACGGCCCCATCGATGTTGACTTTCCTCAGGCGGCGCTGAATTCCAGGCAGCAGCCGACAGCATTTCACCAGCTTCAGCTGAGATTCAAGTCCCTCAGATCATCAGCGAAAAGTTGCATCAACACATCGATGGTGGTGGGAACTTGGTGTTTTTTCTGCGCCGGGAGTGTGACCAGAAGGTGGCCTGGAATTGCACCTCAGCTGGAAGGTAGTTATGTCAGCAGCATCGCACACATGAAGCGAAGAAAAAATCCAATGCCAGGGAAGCAGCACATAGCCATGCGCGTGAACAGGGTGTCCTTGGAGAACAAATTGCTCAGCAAGACTTAATGATTGCTTGCCGCTAGCTGCCAGTGCTGATCGCAGAAAACCACTTGCAGCCAATCCTCGCCATGATTGTAAGGAAAAGAGAAAGACAAGACCAAGAGATTCCTTTTTTTGAAAAAGGGCCCCTCGTCACCGTGCAGTCTGAGTAGAACATCTTTGGGACCTACAAGCAAGCAAGCAGTTTCGGTGCGTGCGCAGCTTCTGTTGACTGGTGACAATATATTTCAAACAGGCCACCCGCAGGACAGACATCGCGCAGCCACGAGCATTCTCTGATGCACTCCAGTAACCTGCAGACATTGAAGCATGTGAGGGCCTGGGCACCACACGTCTAAAGAACAAAACAGCAAGAGCCTTATTTTTCAAAACTGGGCGAATCATTTAGGTTTTCTATCACGGTATTTGTAGCTTCGTCGCAGCAGCTAGCACGCAAACCCATTGCACGATCTGCGTTAGAAGCAACGCCTTGCGATCGAGAGCTAAAGACATATGAAGCATGGCCTAAGCGTGCCACTTCTGCGCATGTTTCTTGCCAGGAGGCGGCATACGATCCTCAGGAGCCGTGGTCCCGTAGACCATGCGTTTCAGTATTTGGGGATGCTTCTCCAACCACGCAAACCAGGCACTTGGCAGCACCACACCTGAATCCACTGAAGCCGAGTCGATCGGTGTTACACCAGAGAACGCTTGAAAGCAAAGCTAGCATAGTCAGCAAAGTCAAAGCAGCCAAGAAGCTGAACTTTCTGTACAAGATTTGCTTCCGCACCTGGACCGGCAAGCTGATCAGCTTCAACTTGGGCAGGCTTGCTGCCAGCCGCGAGTGGAAGCGCGACTCCTTTAGGATTTTCGATAGTACCTTCGTTTGGAACATCTGTGACCCTTCCTGCACGGCTGCCGAACACACGTCAGCACATAGAAATCTCACGTCCGCGTTCTTTTTCCTCAGGCCCTGTAGGACAGTTCTGCCCATGGGCGTATCCACCATGTGTTGCAAATTCGAGTAGCTCTCATAGGCCCAGTGACCCGCATCCTCCTCCACGCGTGCCTCTGCAGATTGCTCGTGGACACGCTGTCTTTTGCGTGCGTTCTTCAGGGCTCTGGTCGCACTGCGTTTCAACTTGCACGATTGCCCACTCCTTAGCTACACAGCTACACCGTAAAGTTAAACAGGCGTGAATATGCTCCAATTTTCAAGACCGGGCTCCCACTGTCGCGTTCAGCATCTGGGTTGGTAGCAGGACCTGCGCAAGCCCATGCGTGCAGTTATATTAATTAAGTGGTCAAGAGCTATGACGCATGAGAAAGACTAGACTAGGCAATTCAAGTCCAGCATATCTGGCTTGTGCATTTTGGCCACAGTGCTTTCCGTCCAAGCGCTCTCGGCAGCCGGAGTCGATCCATCTACGAAGACGCAAGCCCTGCTCAGCAAGGTTGAACAGCCGATGAAAGAGCACAATACCAAGTATTGGCTCAGTGCCAATCTCCCAAAACGTTGGCACAAACCCTCGGCTGATAGCAGCGTTCAGCTCTGCTTGGACAGCACACGGCAGCAGCCCTGCGCGAACTCCTTTCTGGCTCGAATTCACAACTGCACACGCAAGCAGCCTACCCTCGGGACAGGTCCTCCTTTCCCATGTAATGCCAATAGGCTCGACACACGTCCTGCGAGAGAATCAGAATGTGCAATAAGACAAGATTCAAAAGAAGACCCGCTCCACATCCACTTGCCGAATCTGGTCCTTCACTGCGCTGACCCAAACCGCCTCGTCCTCATCATCTTTCACATTCTTCATCACCTAGCAGGTACATGGATGTTTATGTTTATGCTCCCCTTTCCCTCCCCTCCCTCCCTCCCTCCCCCCTTCCTCCCCTTCCTCCCCCTCCCCCTTCCTTCCCCTTCCCCTTCCCTTCCTTCCTTCCTCCCCCTCCCCTTCTCCCTCCCCCCCTCCCTTTCCTCACCCTCCCCTTCCTCCCCTTCCTCCCCTTCCTCCCCTTCCTCCCCTTCCTCCCCTTCCTCCCTCCTCCCTCCCGCCGTCCCTCCCCTCCCTCCCCTCCCTCCCCTCCCTCCCCTCCCTCGCCTTCCCCTCCCCCCATCCCCCTCCAAAACAAGTATGCTGTTTTAGCTTCTGCCAGAGTCCTGGACTCAAAACTTTTGAGGATTTGGGGTTTCGTGTTCTTCGGGTTTAGGCCTTACATAAATTTTATATGGTTTAGGGTTTTGGGGCTTAGGGTTTGTACGGTTGTACGGTTAGGGTTAAGGGTCTTAGCAACCCCGGTGTGGTTGCGGGTTGGCCTTCGGGTTTAAAGCCCTAAGGGTATAGGTTATGTAGGGTTTAGGGTTTCGTTTGGATTTGGCTGGTGGTTTTAGGACCGAGTTTGGGGCTTTGGGTTGTCGAGCTTTAGGGAAATTTAGGTGTTTGGGGTGCGTTGTGGGTTGTAGGGGTTTTGGGTTACAGGGGTTTAGGGATCTAGGGCCGGGCGGAGTGGGGAAACCGCACCGTATATAATACTACCAGACAGACCTGGTGGGGGTGGGGGGGGGTGGGGCGGGTACCATATCAAAAAAAGCATGCGCATCTAGCCTCCAAGACTTGTGCTCTGTGAATCTACAGCCCTTCAGTACAGTACAGTTTCGCTCTATCTTAAGCATTTTTACTATCTCGATCTCGCGTGCATTCTAGACTCTAGTTTCGCTCTCTGAAGCCCTTCAATTTTCTAGTTTTGGGTGCGCTTTTACTTTGGTTCTATCCGTCTTACTAAATGTCCAACTGGACTTATTAATGGTCTCGAGAATTCAAGCCTTGCAGGGTGCAGCATCTTTCGAGGTTTATCTTGAACTGTTTTGGGACAGGGTTTCAAGGAGGCTCCGGGAGGGGTCTAGAATGACTCCTTGGGTTGCCAGCCTACGGGCAGCCTTCCATGTCTGCTCCAGCTGTTCTTTGGCTTCCGTCAGCTCACTTAGAGCTGCTGCAGAAGGTGCATGACCGTCCAGCTGCACTTTGATTTTGGCGAACACGCCGGCCTCTGTTCCAGGCAATGTGAGAGAACGTGATTCTCTATGGACATGCTCAAAGCTGCGTGCGAAGTTACTGAGAAGCACACTTTCCCCAAGATCAGATCCCTCTGATTCAGCTCCTTTGTTGCTGCCCGATCGACGACGGGGATAGCTTTATCCACCTGTGACATCTTGGCCTTTCTGATGTCGAAGACTGCGGGCGGGTTGTCTTTGTTAGCCTTTGCTCTGCTCTTCGCCTTGGCCTTGCCCTTTGGGGCGGCCTTTGGCCTCAGGTTAAAACGAGTGGCTGGGAAGGGTCAAGGGAAACCACCGCCGAACAAAAAACTTCACATATTGACCATTTCGATGCTCAAGGCACTCTGCTGCCTCTGGTGCAGCATCCCCTTCGACGGTGAGCGGAGCAGCAGGCGCATTTCCAGTCAACTCCTTCTGCCTCATGTGAGGTGGCACGCACACTTTTGACACCAGGCCATAACATGGACCCCTATATTGCTATGCATGTGCCTGACAAGCTGCAGTTCCTGCAGCAACTGCACCGCTTCTGGGCGTTTGTCTTTGCTGATGGGCACTACGGTGGCCTTGTATTCCTCGATCTTGTTGTGTGTCTCAGAAGCTGTTTCCGAAACGACAAGGTTGTAGACTCGTCCACCATGTCGTTTGAGGTTTGGGTCGTCCTTTGCGCCTCAGGTGTCAGACAGAGAAATGAAGGACCGCGTACTTGAAACAAAGCAAGCACGGAATCGAAACAGTTGCAGAATTTTAATCAAGCTGATATTCTTCCGAAGTTGTAAGCCCAGAACGGCCGTCCATTTCAGCTTCCACCATCGCCTGCCGAGCTTTGTCGGTATTCCCACCGTAGTGCGCCAGCACCGCTTCCGCATTGATGAATGCTTCCCCCTTCTGCTGCTGCCTGCAGCACTCACAGCCTAGAGCTTTTAATGAACACAGGCAGACACAACAAACATCAACAATCAACACTCACAGAGGCTCAGAGGGCCAGGCTCAGAAAAGGATTCGTGGAAGACCATTTCCGCCGTGACCCCAGCGATGCTGGGGTTCTCCATCCACTTGCGAAGCATTTCGGTTTTTTCATGGCCTCTAGCCCTCCAAGCCAGAACCATCTCATACGAGGCCCGGTTCCAGTTGAGACAGCAACGTCTCAAGGAGGAAAGCTCCGCAGAACCGCTCAATGCTTTCTTGGTTGATCACACACATGCAGCACGACGCAAAGCATCGCAGCTAGCTACATACATGAAAACAAGTCTGAAATCCCACATTTCTACAGACCGGAGGATATACCATCAGCGCACATTCATAATTGCACTCAAGAACCTGTGCTTCCTCAGTAGAGACCGATCGTTTCTCGGGGGCAGACGGCGGAGTGGTTGAGGAGGCTCCAGAACCAGTCGCGGCTGCGGCTGCCGTCGGTGCAGCGTAGGGAGCTGCTGCGGGGGTTGCTGGTGCAGGGGGCCCCTGCGTGGTGTTGGCGGCTGGGGCCTTTGGTGGAGGCACAGCTGGGGCGGGCACAGGCTTTGCCTGGGCAGTTTTGACTGGTGAGTCCACGATCTCAATGTGCTGGGCACGACGAAGAAGAGGCGGACTCGCAGGAGCAGCTGTTTTCACAGCTGTGGGTGGTGAAACTGGCGGTGCAGCTGCTGTGGGGGTAGCTGCTGCGGCGGTTGCAGTCGGTTCTCCTTTGAGCTTTGTCGGCGGCGGCTGTGGGGCCGAGAATCCCTCAAGCTGCCTTTTCAAGGCAGCAGTTCGGTCACGTGCTGCTTGGAGCAACTGTTGTCGCTCCTTCTTCTTCTGAGCTTTCTGCTCTTCTGCCAGCCTGAGTTTCTCCTTCAATTCCTCTTCTTCTTGTTGCAGCCTGAGCAGCTCCTCTGCGTCAGCTTCCTGCGAGGCTGTGAGGCCATCATCTGACGGCTCTCGTGGTTGCTCCTCTGCCGCCGTAGTAGTACCAGGGGCAACAGCAGGGGCCTCTGCAGGGCCAGTCTCTGCAACCGCTTCAGCAGCTTCTGGCGCCTGTTTGCCTACAAGCTTCACTCGCTTGGGTGCAGGCGCAGGCAACGTAGCTTCGTCACTTGCGGCCTGTGTACTGGCATCGTCGGGGCCCACAAATGCCTGGCTTTGCTTCTTGTGCAAGGCTGCAGCCTCCAAGGCAGCATTGGCTCGTCTTTCAGCTTCTTGCAGCTGTTCAGCTCGAGCTCTTGCTTCAGCCTCAGCCTTGGCTTGCTCCTTGCGTTCAATCTCCTCGTCCAAGGCTCTTTGTTTGTCGATTTCTTCTTCGAGCAGCTGTTCCAGATCATCCTGACATGTAGCATAGGACATAGAAAGCCATAGTAAACACCCTTTCGTATGACTTTCTATGTTCTATCGATATGACGACATGAACGGCCTGCGGTTCAACGGCTGTTGCCATCTCTGCTCCTGCCAGAGAGAGAGAGACTAATTCTCGCATACGAAAAATCTCTATTTGTAAACATACAAATTCTTTGAATATTTTACTGTACAAAAAAACATATGTGCATATTTATACTTTGTCAAATATTCTGTATATATATATAGCACAAAAACAACAACTCACCTGACACAAGGCGCACGAGCCTTCGAGATCACCACTTGCAGCTTCGCTCTGCAGCAAAGAATAGCACACGTACGTTACTCGTGAATGTTTTTTTGGTAAGCAAGCTGAAAAGGCCTTGGCTTGGTTAAGCTCCTGCTTGCACTGCTTGAATCTGGCCTGGACAACACTAAGAAAGCAATCTAGAAGAGCAAACAACGGACAGCCTGGGCCAAGAAATCCTGATCTAGCTGATCACGGCCAGCCATGAGGGTGCTGTTGGACCTCGTTTCGACCAAAAAACAGCTTATTACAACATAATCCGTTTGATTTTGTCCTTATTAAGGCAGGTGACAGCTGCGTGTCGTACTGGCTCGACATCTCTCCACAGGAAACGGCGGCCAAAAAGTCTGCGGTCTGCCAATGGTCAAAAAACACCAAAATGCTCCGTCCGCTTTCCGTCCGCTTTCCGTCCGGCCGGACGCCTTCTACTGAAGAGGAGAGCATATAATCCCCGTCCGGTTTCCGTCCGCTTTCCGTCCGGGTGGGGTTTCCTTGACTTTTTTTGGACCGACCGAAGAGCAGGAGAAAAAACACCCTGCGAAAAGCTTCCGCGCAGCCTAGAAGCAGAAAAAAATCTCACACACACACACACACACACACATGCACAGATTTTTACTGACACAAATCGATACAGAGACACGGAGACACGGAGACACAGCTCGAGACACGGAGGCAAGGAGGGACACATGGACACGCAGAGAGTCACAGAGACACAGAGACGCAGAGAATACGAAGACACAGAGACCTGCATGGAGACAGAGGGACACATGCAGACACATAGGGTTTAGGGTTCAGGGTTTAGGGCTGAGGGTTTAGGGTTTAGGGCTCAGGGTTTCGGGTTTAGGTTTAGGGTTTAGGGTTTAGGGTTTAGGGTTTAGGGTTTAGGGTTTAGGGTTTAGGGTTTAGGGTTTAGGGTTGAGGGTTTAGGGTTTAGGGTTTAGGGTTAGGGTTTAGGGTTTAGGGTTTAGGGTTTAGGGACACGCACACACACACACACCCACCCACACACACACACACCACACACACACACAACACGAAGCTTGCACGGGCAAGGGCATGCAGCACATCTTCGCCGCACAGCAGTTGAATGTCGCACATTCCAGATCTAACACATCGCGGGGGCTGAGGTTGCAGAGTCCAGCATAGCAGCCCACAGAACGTTTCAGACAGGAGCAAGTCGGTGCTACAAGTAAGACTATAGGCATCTTGGAACATTCCTCAGGTTGTGTCCTAGTCAGTTTCCTCTTTCACGTCCTCTGCCTTCACTTCTGCACTGCGTCGAAAAGTGCGTAGTCCAGCATCGATCAGGAGCTGCCTGCAGAAGGACATATATCCCCTACCGGACTCCATCCCTGCAACTGCACTCGTTTTCACAGGAGCCTCCACCCTTCACTAGGAGGCTTCGCGTGGCACCCTCTGGCCAGATAGGAAGCAACTTCCCAGAGCCGGGCCTCAATTGCTCTCTACAGCAGGCAGACCCTCACATAGTGGCCTCCCTCCCGCGAACGGCCACACGACACAGATGGGTGCAACGAAGCCACATCCTCATATCCGTGGTCGTCCAGGTCCACCCTGCCATCGTCCTTGTAGAACAGCTGGAACCTTAAGGCCCAGCAACGTGCTCAAATGATATCTCGGACGCACGCTTGGCAATTATGCAGATTTTATTCCCATCCTGGAGTGATCCAAGAGACCCGCTCATCCTGTCGTCGTCGTTCATTGGTGTCAGCTGAGGCAGTGGAGGCTGGAGCGTATTAGGGTTCTCATCCACTAGCGCCGCGATCCGTCGTCCCAGCAATGGAGGGTAGCACCTATAGATGTGCACGCAGCTGAAGCACAGCAACAATCTCAGACAAAAGAACAAGGGAAGGCGCAGCTCGCGGATGGCACTACCACGCCAAGATGCCATTAACTGCCGTCAAGGATCTCGGTGCTCTTGAGGGACTTCGTCCCCGTGACTTTGTCACCAACACGTTTGGTTGGCTTCTCCTTTCCGAGGCTTTTGGCAAGCCTGCAGCATCGCTTGCGTGCATCCCTGGTAAACCTCCTGTAAAGACCCGTCGCCATCCATGGCCTCAGATGCACCCAAATCCAGAAACCGAAAGATCCACCACTATACAGCATGTAGACAAGCGAGAAATGAATCTGCAGCGAGAGGCCTGTTCGCCCAAAACGATGTTAACTTGGCACACCAATGGCGGTAAGCGCCCAGAAAGGTCCGCACATGTGCGTACGGCATGCCTTCCAAGCATTTCACGGCTGTGGGATGCAATAGCATCAACGAGGAGCTCGGTTGCTCCAGCAGCCACGTGCCGGAGAGCCAGGAGATGAGCAGCAACACCAAGAAGCTCCTTCATATGATGGCCCCAAACTTCTAAAAGGCACTGAAGCCCACACACAGTGCAGCTACTTCGATCGGAGAACTCAATTGCTAATTGCAGTGTCACGAGCAGTCCGGGCAACCATGACGTTGGCAGCGGCCACGCTCGGAACGCTCAAATCTCCGCGCGGTGCCTCCGGACCTGGGCGAACATTAGTTAACAACTATGTATCCAGGCCGTCTCTGCATGTGCCAAGAAGTTAAAGTGGCAAACAAGTGGCTACGTTTGCTCGTCGCTCGGTTTATCCAGACCCAACTCGAACAGACAGGCTGCATGAGAGCAAACCTTGGATGAGAACGCAAAGTGTCAGGACACGGAACCACACTCTTCGACAAAACTTTTCCGAGCACCTGGGGCCGTCCACCTTCAGGCACAAGAAGGAGTGGAGGATCAACCTCAGGCACGAGCAACCAAAAGACAGTGCAACACACAAAGACCAAAGCCCCTCAGAGATATACATATATATCTGAAGTCAGATGTGCCCACTCTAGGGCCCGGGCCCAAAACCAGCCGGGTTCAATATGTTCATCGATTTGTGGTGCTCCACATCGTGAGCAGCAACCGTGTACCCGAGATAGTTCAGCGCATCCTCAGGTTAAAACAATGCAGCAGAGGAACAGAACACGACCACTTAATCACAACAGCGCTCCTTCACTGTTCCGGACCCGGAGAACAAATCCAGGGCGTCATATCTCGGCGCAATTGGAAGCTCCGTGTTCCATTGCCCATGTGGGACAGGCGGCCGTCGTAAGAAAGATAGCCAACAATCAAGATCCTGAACTGGCATGGTCGTTTAATGATTCGTGGCTTCGGCCAGTTCGGAGCATGTACAGTTTGCTGACTGAGGAACAGGCAATATCACCAAGCACAAGACCAGCAGCTTCGGAACGCCGTGCTGAAGCATGGAGCGTACCAGCATCTCTGACGCCAACGCTGGCCTCTGCACTGCAGATTCGTTGGACAAAAGGAGAATTGGGGCGGCGTTAACTATAGATATGAGGGCAGCACATAGGCGAAGCCAAGAGCAGCACGGCGAACAACATCGCTGAGGACGCCATGATCTATCTCTGGCTGGTCTCACTTGGCCGCAGTAGCTCTTACACACGAACACAATAGTTGAAGCACCTGTACTTTGCAGCCAACATATCACGACTCACGACAGTCGCCCACAGCTAGCGAATCGGCAGGGGAGGACGCACCCTGTGTTGGCTGCCGTGAGGAGCTTGATTTAGTACCTGCGCAAAGCAAGCCATACCACATATAGCAATTGCAGTCAGAGCACTGAAGAAGCACGGCTGCATCTCCCAATTGAAGAAACATTCTGTTTTGCATGTGCGCGCGCAGCTCCAGTGACTGCCCCAGCTACGCAAAACAAAGGTCTAGCCGTCTACGCCTTCTGCGTCAAACTCAAAAGCAAGTTGATCACATTTGTCAGAGATCTCTGTGGGATCAGTGAGTCCATCAAGCTGCGGGTGGGCAAACGTCCACCAGTCGTACTGAGCAGGGCGCAGCTTGCAGAGCTTAATTGAAAGCAACCAACGCTGCATGTGTGGACAGAGAATATATGTTGTGTCCTGCTTCGCCACCTTGGCATTCTTGGGCACGCATTGCACGATCATCCTTATAAGCATTCACAAGCTTCTAGGACATATCGGCATTCATATCTGCGGCTTGCATTCAAGCAAGTGGCACTTCATAGGTTGTTTTCAAGGCATCAAACTTCAGCGCGGCCGGCGAAGTCTTGGGTCGGGGGCGCCGTGCAAAGATCACAGGGGGTTCTTTGCCTTCTGGCTGCTTGGCCTGCTTGTTTTTGGCCTTGGCCGGCTTCTTCTTGGGCATGGCCTGCTTCTTGGCCATGGGCTTTGGGTGGGCCTGGCCCGGGTCGGCCGCGGATTTGGCCAAGACTGGGCTTCGGGTCCTCGGCCCCCTTCTTGCCAGTCTTGCCCTTCACGCGAGCTGGCTCCTAGGCGGCACGCACATATGCTAGGCACTCAAGAGGCCACAGTACTGCTGTGGGGCCACAACATGTACATTTGCCAAGCAACAAGCAAAGCCGTGTCCACAAACGGACGTGCATCCCTGACGTCGGCCTCGACACCATCATCCCTTTCTTCCTCGCCACTGCTGATCTCCATCGCATCCTCAATGATACATGTGCCGGCTCATATCTGTTGCACCGTGGAGCACACTAATGAGTCTCCATCAACTTAAGTACTGCCAGGTAACGTCACCAAAGAGCTGTCGACAAGACTCCCTGTACTTCTGCTGCGCCTCCTCCCAGGCAGCAATACGGATCCTTTAGGAGATGTATTCAAATTATATGGCATATGTAATTTCTGGCAGTACATCAATGCAAAATGGGCCTGCAGACGCTGGCGTTTGTCCTGTTGTTGCCTTGTGCAAATTGTATGACCAGGCACCCACACACCCACTTGCACATATATGTGTGTGCGACTCCGCCCTGCGCACACATTGACTGCAAGTGCTGTAGAGCAACGGAGTCAACTCACCCACAGAACTCTCCTGGAGCAAGGGGAAGTCTAGCGCATCAACTTGTACACATATTGCCTGAATGTCACAATCTTGGGCAGCAGTCCTGACACGTCGCTGCTTCAGCTTTCCGGCGCTTGGGCGAGGGTATGATCCTCAGAACATACCAGAAAGGTTTCTGCAATTCTCCTTTTTCGGTGTAGGAACAGAAAGGGAAACAGAAACAGATGGAGATAGACGGTAGGAGAGAATGAAACAGATAAAGAAGAAAGACAGAAAAAGACAGAGAGAGAGAGAGAGAGAGAGAGAGAGAGAGAGAGAGCGAGAGAGAAAGAGAGAAAGAGATAGAGAGAGAGAGAGAGAGGGAGGGAGGAGAGAGAGAGCGGAGAGAGGAGAGAGGCGAAAAAGGGGGGGGGGCAAAGAGAGAGAGAGAGAGAGAGAGAGAGAGAGAGAGAGAGAGAGAGCAAGAGAGAAAGATAAAAAGGGTGGAAAGAGGGAAAAAGAAACAGCAGGAGATAAAGAGATAAAGAGGGAAAGACAAAAAGAGAAAAAGACAACAAGAAAGAAAACAATGACAAAGAGAAAGGGAGGGAAGGAGAAGGACAAAAAAAGATATAAAGATAAAGAGGGATATGGTGAAGGAAAGAAAGAGACAAAGAAGGAAAGTAAGAAAAACAAGAAAGAAAGAAAGAAAGAAAGAAAGAGAGAGAGAGAGAGAGAGAGAGAGAACGAGAGAGAGAGAAAAGAGAGAGAGAGCGAGACAGATAAAGAAGAGAGAGAGAAAGAGAGACAGAAAAAAAGAGAGAGAGAGAGAGAGAGCGAGAAAGAGAGAGAGCAAGAGAGAGAACAATAGAGAAAGAGAGAGAGAGAGAGAGAGAGAGAAAGAAAGAAAGAGATAGAGAGAGAGAGAGAGAGAGAGAGAGAGAGAGAGAGAGAGAGAGAGAGAGAGAGAGAGAGAGAGAGAGAGAGAGAGAGAGAGAGAGAGGGCAGAGGGAGAGAGGGGGAGGGAGGGAGGGAGGAGAGGGAGCGGAGGGAAAGGGAGAGGGAGAGAGGGACACAGCGAGAGAAAGAGAAAGGGAGAGAAGGAGAAAGGGTGAGAGTGGGAGAGGGAGAAAGGGGGGGAAAGCGGGGGAGGGCAGGGAGGATAGAGTTAAAAAGAGACATGCAGACGGGAGACAGGGAGAAGAAGAAAAAGAAGAGCCTTTAGAAAGAAATACGCAAAGACTGAACAGAAACAAAAAGGAGAGAGAGAGCATTAGACAGGGAGAAAGAAGACCGGAAGAATGAAGACTACCAACACAAAGAACAAGACAAAGGGAGAAGGAAAGGGAGAGACATAGAGGAGACAGAGATCGCGACCGAGAGGGTGGTCTGAAGAACTGAGAAGTTCCAAGACGGAGAGAGCCTCAGAGAGAAGATCCGAAGAGAATGAAGAAGAATGTAGAAGGGACAAGAGAGGAGGGAGACACAGAGAAAGAGAAAAAAAAAAAAAAAGAGAAAGGAGCAGAGAAAGAGAAAGAGAAAGAGAAAGAAAAAAGGAACGAGAAAAGAGAGCGAGAAAGGAAACAAAGAGAAAGACAAAGAGAGAGAGAGAGAGGAGCGCGAGAGAGAGATGAGAGAAGAGAGCGACAGAGAGGACAGAGAGAGAGAGAGAGAGAGAGAGAGAGAAAGAGAGAACAAGGAAAGCGAGCCAGAAAGAGAGAGAGAGAGGAGCGCACAAGTTGCAGCACATGAGATAGAAAGGAAGAAAAGAAAAACACAGAAACTCAAAGAGAGAGAGGGAGAGAGAGAGAGAGAGAGAGAGAGAGAGAGAGAGAGAGAGAGAACGGAAAATGGATTAGTATAAGAAGCCACGACGAATAAAGCTTTCCGTTCAGGTCGATGACCCTCTCCCAGCACGTATTTTACAATTGCAGATGAGACTCTTGGATTTGAGCACATCCAGTTTGGGATAGTAGCTCGACCTGTGCATTGCCACACAAGCATGTGGACATCCAAATGTAGCTTTTGTTTTGTAACATTCTAAGTTAAGGCTAGGGGCTCTGTGCGGTTTCTCAAAGCTCGCACACGCGAGCAGCAACGGCGAAGAATCGATGCCACCAAAGCTTGTTCGGTCTGCGGGAGGCTCGGAGCAGCCATCATTACCTAGGACAATCCACAGAAACCCCAGCAAGTAAACATGCACATAAGACTAAGAAACACCAATTCTCCACGCAAGCACGTACATGCACACATATAGGGCAGACCCGCGCATGGGCATTCTAGCCAAGTCGCAGCCATGTCAAAAATTCTGGGAGCTGGTGTGAAGTTCAATCCCATCAGACCTCAGGCCAAGGAAACTTCACAAGTAAAATTAATGGCACCAGGCCCCCCCCCCCCACCGGCAGCACTATATTGATGTGAGGCTGCAGCGAATTTGTTCCAGACAGACGTCGGTAGCTGCAAAGGTCATTTCATTGATGAACTCCAGTGATATGGCCAGCACTGGGTTTTTGAAGCGTTGCGCTCCTTCCCACACCTGTTCTGCGCCTAAGCTCAAGACAGAAAGCCTTGAAGAAACAATGCTTCGGACATGCCCCGTCTAAGCTTGATGCGAGGCGCTTCTTGCCTCTCCCAAGAATGCTTTCAAGACTTCCGCAAGCCGTTGAGCCACCTGACGCATGAAGATGTCTGCAGCCCAGAGCGCGGACACAAGCGCAGCAAATCAAAGATAGAAGGGCAACCTTCAGGTCGTCCATGCGACCCCTTTCTGCCTTCCATATCAGGCACGACAGAGCTCACACGTGTACCATTTCTGAAGTACATATCCAGCCTCACCCTCAGGCTTCTCATCTTCCCCATCCGAAGCCATGGTGGCACAGACCCCCTAAGCAGCCACGCCAGGAGCAGCTATCTAAATTGTCCAACTGTGCCCAGAAGTGCCAAAACCCAAGAGGAACCATCGATGTTGCTGGTAAGAAGCAACATAAAAATATGTATGCTGTAGGCGTTTAATGAGCTTTCAGTACAAACCTATATCCTTGACGCAGCTGCCAAGTTGGAGCTTAGACTAGACCACACACTGCAGAGACACTACTGTCGCTTTGGACGAACAGCAGGTGGGGGGGGGTTGATAACCAGGTACCCAGTCGCCTTGCAAGGAGGGGGCACCTTCAAACAAGAGGCCGCGAGCAGGCCTATTCGCCCTGGTGGGACAGCTTTCTCCAGTTTTGCTAGTGGCTTTGGACGCGGTTGTCTGTACAAACGGCCAGGCGGCAGCGCCAAAATATTTTGCCTGAAGAAGTTTCGGATCTCGCGGTCAGTTGGTTCAGGCTCTTCGATCTCCCCCTCTGCTTGGCCCGCAGCTACAGCTGCTACAGCTACAGCTGCTACACCTACAGGAGCCTCGACGTTGTTTGCCGGTGCCTCTGCTGAACAGGGCGCTGACCTGGAGCCTTTACTGGAACCTGTGCGACTCGAGGGGGTATTCGAGCGGGTTGCCGAGGTCGAGCGATCTGAGCGGCGAGCGCGGTTTCGAGCACGACGGCGTGAGCCACGTGAACGACGACGGCGCCTTGAGCGAGAGCGACCCGCGCGAGAACGCTGCCTCCTTGAGCGGCGGCTGGGTACTGGGCTAGAGCTTGGGGACCTACGCCTGGGCATGCCAGCCTGCACCTGGAGCCTACACAAAAGCATGCAAGCATTCTCAATGCGCAGCACAGCCAGCGTGCAGGCAACATAAAACAACTTGCCGGCGCACGGGCACATCTGAGTCCAGTGATGACACTGAGGCAGCGAGTGCTGCCCACACGGCCATTGCTCGGCATTCATGCTTAAATTGTAAAGCTAATTGTGCGCAATATAGTTTTGTACTGGGGTTTCCGGCACATGTCTTCTGGTACGGTACTGCGCAGGCCTGGCGGCTTTCAGAGCCCTCCCAGAAGCCTTCAAAACTACAGCAATGTGTAGCTTCTCATAGACATGAGTATCATGTGTTTTAATTCAATCTTTGGTTTCCACTGTCAACCAAAGATTGAATTAACATGTCTTGTAGAATTCAATCTTTGGTTTCTAATGTAAACCAAAGATTGAATTAGCATGCATGCCATGCATGAAGAAATGATTGTTTTCACAGTAGCCCCGTGTGAAAACAATCATTTCTGGCTAGAATCGAGGAATTAACATGGAGGCATGTTAGTTTTTGACATATTATTCAGTCATTGTTGTTTTTTGGTGGTGTAATCTTACAACGTTATCTTTTTGGCGCACGTCGTTTTTTTTACGTCATTTGGTTCTCCAGGGTCTCGGCGCTGCTCAAGTGTAAGGTGACTTCTGACTACCTTACCTTTCCCTTGTCCGCGTCCTTTCCTTCCCTTGCCCTTGGCTTTGCCGACAGCTGTGTGGGCAGCAAGAGAAAGCTGGATCGCGTGGCCAGCCTCTGGGGTCTGGTCCTCGAAGAGCTCCAGGGTGTTCAACGCGACCGCCTCAGCGTCGTCCACCTCATACTCCTCAAATTCTTCCTCGACGTCTTCGTCTCCCCATTGCTCTTCAGCGACGTAGGCCTCGGGGATGTAGTCGAGGGGTTCATGGGAGTCCTCCTCTGGGTACTCCTCTTCGGCTATCTCGTCGTCGAAGGCGGCAAGGCTCTTCGAGGGAATCCTGGAGATTTCCCTTTTCCTTTGCCCTTGTAGAAGGGGGTCCTTCCGGTACCCTTTGCTGAGGGCATCGAGCCTCCCAGGGCTCGGCCTTCCTTCAGGTGCACGCCGGTGTAGTGCTCGACCAGGGTCTCGGCAACGGACTCAAAGCCCTTTGGGTCTTTGGTGCATGCCTCAATGACCAGGGACTCCTGTCTAGATAGTCCCGAGAGCTCAAGGAGTAGCTCTACTCGCATCGGCTCCGAAAGCTCGATGGAACTGTCCAGCGTCTTGAGCAACTTCCACCACCGGCGTCGTCGTGAAACGTACGACAGCATCGATTCGCCGGACTGGCGTGACAGGGTACCAGGCCTCTGTCCCACGCGGAAGAGCTCTCTGGCTTCTTCCGCAGCGCGCGGAAATACCAGCTCGCGCAGCTTCGCAATGTAACGGCGCAGTCCTCCAGGTGCTGCCAGGGCCTCAACGCCCATATCTCGCGCCAGATCAAAGGCGTCGTCTCGGAGGCCTTCGAGTACGCGATGTACCATTTCCGTCCTCGCCTTCGTGCTTGCCGGGGCCAATTCAGCGCTTTCCATGGAGAAGATACGCGGGCTCTTGTCTCCACGCCCTTTTCCTCTTCCGCCTCGGCTGGAAAGCGTCTCGAAGTCGAAGTACGCATCGTCGCGGGTTGCGCCGCTCTGGGTCGCATCTGCGGCGGGTCGCGGGGGATCCTCGCCATCATCCTCTCCAGGCCCGTCTGGGTCCTCGCCATCATCGCCGGCACCAGGCTCGGCCTCGGCACGGGTGCCCCCCGCGTCAGAGTCTCCTCTTTGGGATCCCTGACGGGATTGCGCACTGGCCTTCGCACGGATGGCATCCTCGTAGAGCTTCAGGCGCAAGAGCGTCCTGAATTCCCAGTCATGATATGTACTGGGGTCACCACCGTAGATGTATGACCCGGATTTGGTCTCGGCCATGGAGCTCGAGGAGGTGTTGCGGGTAAACCGCAGGCCTGCCACAGACATGGCAGAGGTCCAGGGAAAAGGAACTCGAGGTCGTAGAAGTCGGAGTTGCGAAGTGGGTCGATCGGCTCGCCCAAGGGCCACAAGATCGGTACCTAGGCAGCTGTAGCGGCAGGCCACCTAAGGGTCCTGCTCCGCTACCAGTTTGGATTTGATCCCAAGACTGGCAGTCGCACGGTACGTTTTCACTGCATAGCGTTCATGTAACGGCTACAAGGGGCCCCTTATGAACCGATGGGCCGCGGCATATATTCACATCCTGGCATGACTACACACTTTGCACAGCCTGGATTCAGACCTAGACCCTTAATCCTAAACCCTAAACCCCGCAACCCTCAACCCTAAACTCTAAACCCCAAACCCTCAACCCTCAACCCCAAACCCTAACTCTCAAGGTGCCCATGGAATGCACCTTGAATGCTTGGTCTTAGACCTGAAGGCCCCCCAAGGAGTACACCGCGCCATGTGTCGGGCGTAGGGTCTAGGGCTTCAAGGTCTTAGGGTTCTGGGTTCTGGGTTCAGGGTTCAGGGTTTAGGGTTTAGGGTCTAGGGTCTTAGGGAGAAACCAGGGCTCCCGAAAAAGAAACTAGTATTAACACATACTTACTGAACAGACCAGAATATGCTCGCCGAAGTCAGTGCTAAAGAGGAGCGCCCCTATGTTGAAGGACGGCTCAGGGCCTTAGGGATGTTTGAGGCTTCGATGGGTTTAGATAAGTCAACCCTTTAGTGCGCGGAAGCCTAAAACTCCAAAACGAGCAAAAGCATCCGAAAGCACGGAAGCCCTGCACCCTTGAAATGCCCTAAAGTGCCCTAAAGACCTCAAGGTGTCCCAAAGCTACTATTTGCTTAAGAACCCCAAAAGAAGAAAGAAAAAACAGTGATCCCATATTTCCCTTAATAAGGAAGAACATGTTTTCTATTTATTCGGGGGTTCTTAAGCTATTATAGAAAATGCCCTAATATGGAGATAATTGGGTTATTAATCAATTATACCTGTACTTATATCAGCCACTTATAATCCCCTTAGGTGCCCTAATATGGAGATAATTGGGTTATAAGTACAGTAAACCCTAAACCCTAAACCCTAAACCCTAAACCCTAAACCCTAAACCCTAAGCCCTAAACCCTAAACCCTAAACCCTAAACCCTAAACCCTAAACCCACATCCTCGTTCGTCAGTGTGCTCTGCGCCTGTCTTGCCGTCCACTCGTTCGTGCCCTTCGCTTCGTCGAAGCCGAACTCAAGCCTTGAGTCCAGAAAGCCACTCTTCAAAAGGAAGGCCCCTAAACCCTAAACCCTAAACCCTAAACCCTAAACCCTTAACCCTTAAACCCTAAACCGGCCTAAGGTCCTAGCCATTCAGAATCAGGACCCTTGCTTCGCCCGAAAGGGTTTTGGGCTTCAGGGTTTTTGGGCTCTGGGGTTTGAGTTTGAGTGGTGCCTATGCCAGGGTGTGCGAGGCCCTGGGGGCGTCTAGCTTCTGGTCTGGCCAGGTTCCACTCCTCTGGGACCTGAAGCGGAAACCCAAAACCCTACGATGACCTAGGGTTTAGGGTTTCATTGGACATGGAAATAACTTCTTGCAACCTGCTTTGGGATTTGGGTTTAGAGTTTAGGGTCCAAGAACTCGGCTAAATTGAAAGGCGGCAAAAGTTCGCCAGGAGGCAGGATTCCTTTGCCCCGGCCATTTGAGAGCTCTGAGCGGACCGAGAGCACCTGTGGTAAAAAAGGGCGAGTTCGTGGCGTTAGGGGTTCAGGGTTCAGGCTAGGGTTTTGGGTTTAGGGTTTAGGGTTTCAGGGTTTCAGGGTTTAGGGTTTCGGGGTTTAGGGTTTCGGGTTTAGGGTTCAGGGTTTAGGGTCTAGGGGGCTGGGCGTAAGGTCATCACTTCTCGAATCAAGTAGCTGTAACCCCTACTTGGAGGTTCATGGGAACTTTATAAGTACGGCTATAAGGACCCTAAATGAGGTCATCACCAAAGTTACCCTACCTGAAGCCCTACTTATACGTACCCATGAACCTCCAAATAGACTGCTCCCTAAACCCTAAACCCTGGGATGGGGGGGGGCTTTAGACGAAAACATAGGACCCCCACCCCCCCCCCAAACCAAAGGGTATGACCATTACCTTGAAAGCATCGATCAACCCTCGACCCTAAGCATCAGTACGTTGAGGTTTTTAGGCTCAGATTCCGCGTAAGATTTTAGGCTGTTGGGGTTTAAGGCTTACGAGACCTGTACATCCCACACCCTCAAGAGCGAGGCCCTCCCTTCGTGGCACTTTGAGGTCTGTGGGTTTCGGGTTTAGGGCTTTCTGTGGCTATTGAGTCGGGTAACGGGAGTCCTCTAGCCCACCTCATCATTCCCCCTGAACCCTAAAACCCTAAACCCCAAAACCCCAAACTCCAAACCCTAAACCCTAAACCCTAAACCCTAAAAGCCTAAACCCTAAACCCTAAACCCTGAAGCCTAAACCCCCAAACCATAACCCACTTTGAAGGCTGAGACTTCATGCCCGCACCTGCGCTTCGCGCCAGGACTCGGACTTCTGACCATTCCTGAGATGGGCTTGGCGTCTAGGGTCTGGGTCCAGGGTTTACGGTTTAGGGCTTTAGGGTTTAGGGTTTAGGGTTTTAGGATTAGGTGATGGAAATTGCGCCCCAACACACCCGGCGTTGATATTTGTTTAGTGTTGGGGGTGGGGGCCACCACATATTTCTCGCACATGTCGCGAGGTCATTTTCTTGCCGACGAAGATACCAACAGCGAGCCAAGATTGGCGTGTTGGCTTCTTATATATACAATTCCGAGAGGGGTGGGGGAATTTAGAGTTTAGGGACCGAGTGTTGCCTGGGAGGAAGCCCTGGGGAAGCCCTGAGCTTGGGGCTTCGGGTTCTGGGGTTTACGGATCGGGGCTTCGGGTGCCGGGAGCTTCAGGATCGGGTTTCGGGATTTCCTGGTAAGTCTTTCTTGGCGTGAGTTCGTCTTTCCCTCTACATATTTAGAGTAGACTACCGTGGCATCTGAGCTGTAGGTGTGGTTTACGGTTTACTTGTTGTGAACTCCGAGGCCTCAAAACACTCGTGAGGCCCTGCGTGTTTATGGCTTGCCTACGAACCCGGGGTACTGCTTGTTGGGCAAATCTGCCTCAGAATTAAAGTAGGATTGCAGGTATTGAAGGCTGTTTAGGACCTGAGCCGGATTTGTGGTTTCAGAATTGTCTCTTTAACGCTGTCCAGAAAACCTTTCGAGACTTTAAGCAATGTTGTCCCGAGCACAATACACCATAATACACCCAATATGACAATTTTCAAGCCTTCGTACCCAAACAAGCTCAACACACCCTTAACCCATAAACCCTGAACATCAAAACCCTAAACCGTAACCCCAGCGCTTCTCTCTTGGAACGTGCCGGGACAGATAGAGACGGAAACATCAGCCACAACGGATCCAGCCACGGTCGACTTAAAAACTCTGGGTGAAAAGATGCGGCGTAAGAGCCAGTACACACGACCTACTCGTAGATGGGCCCTGAGATAACTCAGGGTTTAGGGCACCACAGATGAGGGCTTTCTTCGCTATGTTACTCTGGCTATGGGGCTTGTATTCATAAGGAGCTCTACATAGTTAGCACATCCCCAGGGTCCGTTCAAGCATCGGGCGAAATGTAGGGGCCGTGTGCAGCTTTCTCTGGCAGTTACTGAGACGTGACCTACGTAGAGCACATGATAAACCTCAACCCCATAAACCCTATAAACCCCACAAACCCTAAAAACCCGGTAAACCCTATAAACCTTATAAACCCAAAAAAGCCCGTACACCCGAAAAACCCTATAAACCCTATAAACCCTATAAAAACCCTATAAACCCTTTTAACCCTATACACCGTATGAACCCTATAAACGCCATATAAACCCTATAAACCCGAAACTAGGCAAAAAACCCAGAACCCGCGCGCTGTGGCCTCAAAGATGCCACTTCCCAAGGTGCAAGGTGCGCGGGCGCCTAACCCTTGAGCCCCACCCTTCTTGAGTTTTTAACGTGAAAAAACCCAATTTAGGGTTCTTAGGGCTTTTTGACGTTTAAAGAAAAACCCTGAACCCTAGCTCTTGCAAAGCCCTGCGCCCACTTTAAGCCCGAATTGAGCCCACCTGAGCCCTAACCCTGAATGACCCATTGCTGTACTCGTGGACTTCGTCCATTGGCCAAGATCAGCAGCACGCCCGAGGGTGCCGTTCAACGGCAGCCTCCCAAACATTAAACCCTAAACCCTAAACCCTAAACCCTAAACCCTAAACCCTAAACCCTCCAGGTCGCCACGACGGCGCCCCTCGACTCACTATCGGCGCCAAGCACGGCGCTCGAGGCCTCCAAGACTCGCCGCCGAACAGCGAAAGGCGGTGCATGGGTTTAGGGTTTAGGGTTTAGGGTTTAGGGTTTAGGGTTTAGGGTTTAGGGTTTAGGGTTTAGGGTTTAGGGTTTAGGGTTTAGGGTTTAGGGTTTAGGGTTCAAGGTTTAGGGTTTAAGGTTTAGGGTTTAGGGTTTGATAGATTTTACGCTAACTGCTGACGACAACTCAACCTCAGCGGCCACACGAGAAAAGCACCGTCACTTGTCACTTGTGCCCACGTGATCCCGGTCACTTGTGCCCACGTTATTCCAGGTGAGGCAGGCACAAGCGACCGGTCAGCCACAAAACTCTTTCCTGCATACAAGCTCGACCACATCAGTATCCGTAGGCATCAACATGCATCAACAACAGCAGTCCCTAAACCCTAAACCCTAAACCCTAAACCCTAAACCCTAAACCCTAAACCCTAAACCCTAAACCCTAAACCCTAAACCTTAAACCTTAAACCTAAACCCTAAACCCTAAACCCTATAAACCCTAAACCCTAAAAGCACTGGCCGGGCGCCGCACTTTGCCGCCCTGACTTCAGGCCGTGCCAACAAGCACTCGATGTCTCCTGGTCAAGGCGCGGACATGGTCTAAAGGGCTGACAAGGCTGAGTGCGGCATCGGAACTGCAACCCTGGATGCATGGGCAGGGTTTAAGGTTTAGGGTTTAGGGTTTAGGGTTTAGGGTTTAGGGTTTAGGGTTTAGGGTTTAGGGTTTAGGGTTAATATACTCTCGACCATGCAAGACACCTGCAACTGCGACGCTAGCAAACCAACCGCATGTGGAGGGGGCTTGGGGTGTAAGGTGTAGGTTTTTCCCTCTCTCCTTCCCTGCTGGCACAAGGGTGTAAAGGTTTGGACCGTGGTGTTTCAGGGTCTATAGGACTTAGGACCTAGAATTTAATGTTTGGGCAGATCAAGGTTTAATGCGCAAAACTGCTTGCCGTCTTTTGTTCTGCCATGACGCTCCTAACACATCCTATCACATCATTTCAACTCTCAGGGGATCCCAAGAGGCGTTGTTGGGGTTTGAGAGTGATCACTCAATGTCGCGTTCCTGCTGTGTCCAATCCTTCTGTACTTTGCCCAGTTTCGGTGTTGGGGTTTTCTGTTTCAGTCAGTTTTGCTCCAACTAACTTCGCGGTTGGAGTCTTCTGCGACCTCTAGGGTTTCAAGCTCTCCATTCTTTGAACTTTGTATAAATTAAAAAGTTGCTTACTCTTACTGTGTTGGGTTTCCCTGCAGTCTGAAGCCAGTTCTTCTACTGGCAATCCTTTGGTATGGCTTGAGTGAAATAGTTTCTTGCTTAATCGTCTGGTCCTAGGGGTGTGGGGCTGTGGAGCTTAGTTAAAATTTCGCCGTTGTGCGGGCCACTCCTCTGACGCTCGTTTCGCCCTCTCAGGTCTAGGTCAGTGAGTCATATAGGTCCTGCATCCGTGCGTGCTCGCTTGCTGTGAGCGCCGTGCTTCACCAACAAAAGCACCACTTCCGTGTGGCCGCCCTCAATTGCCACGGTCAGAGGCGTCTGCCCGTTGTCTGTGCGTCCCTGGTTCACGTCGGCGCGTGACAGCAGCAACACACGGGCCATGTCCAAATCGCCTGCCTCAGCTGCCATGAAGAGCGGTGTCGTCCCATCGTCTGCACGTGCTTGGTTGATGTCAGCGCCAACCTCCAGCAGCAAACGAACCACTTCCAAATGGCCACTAATTGCTGCGAGAGGAAAGTGGTGTCACTCCATCGTTCGCGTGTGTTTGGTTCTTGTCAGTGCCGGCCTCCAACAGCAGGCGCACCACTTCCGAATGACCCCACATAGCTGCCATGAGCAGCGGGGTCAACCCCTCGTCCCTGGTTGCCTGGTTCTTGTCAGCGCCAACGTCAAGCAGCAAGCGCGCCACTTCCACATGACCATACTGAGCTGCCACGAAAAGGGGCGTCGCTCCACCCATCTCGAGCAGTGTTTCTCCATTGTGGGTGGTTGCTTGGTTCTTGTCAGCGCCAACTTCCAACAGCAGGCGCACCACTTCCACTTGACCATTCTTGGCTGCCACGAAAAGAGGCGCCGCTCCACCATTTGGGACTGTTAAGTTCTTGTCGGCACCAAAATCGAGCAGCAGGCGCGCGACTTCTAAGTGGCCCTCCGCAGCTGCCACAAAAAGAGGCGTCTCTCCGTCTCTTCCGCGAGCTTCGTTTGGATCTGCACCGAGGTCCAGCAGCAAGCGCGTCGCTTGCAGATGGCCGTTGTAAGTCGCTATTTGTAGTGTCGTGGAGCCATCCTGATTAAGCTGGCCCATGTCGGCACCACCACCCAGCAACAGCTCCACGCAGGCACTGTTTTCGAGCTCTAGTGCTTTGAAGAGTGGAGTTTCGCCATAGAGATTCTCCGCGCTGTGGTCTGCACCGGCTTCAAGCAAGAGCCTTGCTGCATCCTCATGTCCTCCTTCTGTCGCAACGACAAGAGCCGTGTCGCCAGCAAACCAGGTGTCGGGATCCTGGGGTCTCTGCAGAATGGCCTCAAGACGGGCAATCGCCCCGTCTCCTGCTGCAGTGACAAGCTCACCTGCTCGTTCCGTGGTGGCGTCGCCGATGCTGACGAGAACCAGTTGCAGCTCGGAGAACTCGGCGAAAGCAGCACTGTCGTCCAGGAGCTCGCCGTCTGGGCGGAGGACCCGCTGCTGGAATCTCGGCTTGCCGCAGTGGCTTTGCAGATGACGCTTCAGCTCTCTTACAGGGAGTTCTGCAGCAGATAGACCCTGGAGCAATTCTGCGTCCGTCTTGCAACAGGCGCAGACCTTCTCGCCGGATGCCAACATCCGCACCAGTGGCATGGCGGCGACGCTGGCTCCCCAGAAATGGTGATTAAGAGATACGAATTGAGGGTGCAGGCCTTGCAATTTAAAGCCATGAACCACAAACCGTCCGAAAAGCTCCCCACAAACCATGGGCTCTACAAAGGCAGAGCCACGTGAGGCTCGGACACGAAACCGCGAAGTCCCAAGCTCTCTAACATCAACCCTAAACCTTACAACCTCTTGGGAATGTGGGAGTTGACCAAAATAGGGGACCCCCCAAGATAGATTATCAGGATCCCCTCATAATCAGGACCCCAAAATGGTACTATAGGGGCCTGAATAACTAGAACAGGGGTTCGGGGGTTGTTATGGTATAGTTTTGTAGGGGCCAGAACGGAATACCACTAGTTATTTTTCCGACCCCTATATTACCCCTAATTTCGAAAACCCCCCACCCTGCTTGTGCAGCACACAATCTGCTGTGTGGTTCGATGCTTGAGCCCGGCGCCTTCGAGATCAGACGTTAAGGCGCGGAAAGCCAAGCTAAACCCTAAACCCTAAACCCTAAATCCTGAACCCGAAACCCTATGGGGGTTTAGGGTTTAGGGGTATGAACCCTAACCCCAACCCTCGCACCCCAACCTGAAACCAGGGACCCTGAGAAGCCTCGAAGACCCCCAGGCGCAAGCGGAGGAATGCCTCGACACAAGGATCTGGTTGCGGCTTGGAGGGAAAATCCTAAACCCTAAACACCCTAATTAAACCCCAAACCCTAAACCCTAAACCCCAAACCCCTAAACCCTAAACACCCCAAACCCTAAACCCCAAACCCCTAAACCTCTAGACCCTAAACCGAAAACCCCAAACTTTGTAAGCCGTTTGGAGAAGACCCCCAAGGATTCGAGTGGTTAGTCTTGTGTCTGGTCGGGTCGTTTAGGTGGTCGGGCCAGTCTAAGTGCTCCGCCTCCAGGGTTTAGGATTTAGGGTTTAGAGTTTAGGGTTTAGGGTTTAGGGTTTAGGGTTTGGGGTTTAGGGTTTAGGGTTTGCGGGTACGGAAGTCCTCTTGGCTTGAGACGGCAAGCAGTTTGGTTTTACGAGCGCGTGGCGTTTGAAAGTCTTGGGGAGAGCTGTTTCGGGGATCGCCTCCCCTAAACCCTAAACCCTAAGCCCTAAACCCTAAACCCTAAACCCTAAACCCTAAACCCTAAACCCTAAACCCTAAACAGGTGATGGAGTGCGAAACCTCCCATGGCGAGGGCCTGTGGCCTTGATCCTTAGGGCGGTTCAGGGCTCAGAGTTTCGGAATATTTACCAGTAGTACTCCCTTATGGTCACTTTATTTTTTATGGTCACTTTTTTTTGTTACTACAAGAACCATCAAAAAACCCCCAAAACCCTTTTTCCAATTACTCAGGCCCCTATATCAGAGCTCAGGGAAGGGGTCCACGACCTGGAAGTCCCTTCCTCCGTCCCTCTCCACCTCCCACGCATCCTCCTCACCCGGCACCCAGAGCAAGCAAGCCACCAGACTTCTCTGGAAAGGAGAAAAAAAAAAAGCCTCGGTTGCCAGCCCTCCTCCCGTGTGCGCGAGGCAGATGCTTTTGCGACATCTTCCTCGTGACAGGGAAACAAAGACCCAGAAGGCTTTGCCGGATTCGCTGATCCACAATTCGGCCCGGAGAATCCAGAAGGCTGGTTCTCTAAATGAAGGTTTCTTTTGGGTTCCCCCGAGAATACGTAGTCTAATACCTAGGGTACCCAAAAAAGGACCCTAATTTAGAGAACCGTGCACACCATCGTCATACTCGGGGGATTGCAAGCAAGGTGCGGCCGTCTGCGCGCCGATCCCGGAAGAGAGGGCAGCAGAAGCGTCGCTGGAGGCGGCGGTGTCACGTCCTTGTCAAGCTAAGGGTTTTGGGCGTTGTAGGTTGAGGGTTGGCTCTGCGGCTCTCAACTCATTCGGTGCTCTTACTACTGCACTGCGTCCTGTGGACTTTTGTATCGATTTGGGCCGATGACTTGACAAAAGACACCCAAGTCTCTAAACCAAAATGCAACCTCACTGCTCAATGCAAATCGCACAACCTCTCCCCCTTTACCCCATCCACGGCCGCCCTAAACCCTACCCACAAGAAACGAAAACAGCATGCAAGATTGAAGGCAGTACAATATCAATGGTAGCAAACAATTGACAGAAGATGAACTCTTGCCCGATGGCAGCATACTACATACCGAAGCCGAAGCGCGAGACACGAAAAGCACGATGCGAAAACCCTAAACCCCAAACGTTTACCTACAGTTTTATGGGTCATACCTGCTAATTAACGGTAGTTACTACTAACCGTAGGTAAAAAGAGTCCCAGGCACACTTGAGCCTTCCCCAAGCAATTCACAACAAGGCATCGAAAGCTAAGCACACAAGGGGTTTCAGGGGCTTAGGGCTTCGGGCCTTGCAACCTGACGCAAGCCCTACGCTACTACACCGGTCCTCCTTTCCGTGCGCTCGCCCAACTTGTCCTCGATGGGCCCGACCACGCTGGCTAAAGTGGTGCTGCTTTCGATCTTATGGATGGCCTCCAGGGCTCCAGGGCGTAGAGCGTGTGTAGGGGTGGGTTGGGATCTAGGTAGGATTGTGGGTCCCGATAGAGTTGATGCTTTAGGGTGCCCCCGAAGATGACGACGAGTCGGGGGTGCATCGAGGGTCACCGATTCGTAGTTTCTTTCACATGCGCCTCACAGGCATGTATCGACGGTGCTGTCGCCACCCAGTACCTGGGTGGTTTCGGGCGTTCGCGTTTGGGATTTAGGGATTGTCAGGGATTTCATGCCATGAGACGAAGCTTTCTTCTTCCTACCGGGATTCCTGTGGGAAGAAAAGGAAGCTCCGATTTTTTCAAGGGCGTTCTCGAACCCCAAAAGGGTTTAACATTGAGCTGTGGCTTTCCTACATAGCAACTCTAGACCTACTAGAAACCCACAAACCACAGACCCGCCAACACAAACCCTGAACCCCAAAACCCTCAACCCCCCATGAGTCGACTAGGGTTTATGGGGTTTTGGATTTGGGGTCTTTTCCTCAGAACAAAAAATCTACGACAGGCCCTCACACACACACACAGATGGAGAGCCAGCGAAAAACCAGATTGGCTCATTAACTAGCTAACTGTAACTGACGCAAACACCCCTGCACCCTCAACCCTAAACATCCCTAAACCCCACTACCATCAAACACCGACTCACTCGCAGCTACACCGTCTAAGGCCCTCAACCAAATCCGATACCGTACATCCTAAGCCACGCCCATCAGAGGGGTCTCCCTCCAAACGGGGTAGTTCAAATATTCCCGCAAATTTCTTCCTATTAAAATACAAGACTCACACTATTACATCTCCATATATATATATATATGTATACACATATTGTGTATATTCTATATATATATATATATACATGTATCATTTCCATAGTGAAGTCTTGGGCTTAACACCCAGAGGCCCTGTTCCTTTTGGGCCTTTGGGATTCCCCACAAGCCCGCCCCCATGTTCCCGATCAAGGCCAAGCACAGAGGCTCGCCGTCCCCAGATGCAGGCGAAGTCATGGACCCAGCTTGTGCACCAGTAGCCTGCGAATTTTGCTGAGGAAACCCTAAACCCTAAACTGTAAACCCAACCCTGAACCCTGAACCCTGAACCCTAAACCCTGCAACACTCTACACCACCTTCGACCCAAATGAAGCCCGCAGCCATGCTGGGCCTCAGATCTGAACCCGTCCTCAAGCTTTCAGGGGCGTTTGTCAAGGCAGAACTCCGAAAGCCCTCCCTAAAAGTCGCAGAGGGGCAAGGCCTTTAGGGCATTCGTGTGTTAGGTGTTTAGGGTTTGGGGTTTCGGGTGTGCCTCACCGCCGTACGCCCTCCGCAAACCGCGACCTTCCCCACAGGCCACAAGCCTTGGGATGTTCCCCCTTATACCAACCGCTCCTCAAAAGGGATTCATAGTACCCCTACTAAAATCCCCATTCAGGACTGTTAGCATAAGGGAGAACATCCCAACACAAGCCGCAAGAGGCAAGCGCAAGGATCACGAAGCCTCGGCCCCTCACCAATCTCATCCTCGGCTTCTTTTTCCTAAAACCGCCCACCCCCGTGTACTCTAAACACATTGTTACCTACTCAGCTACTAAGATGCTAAGGGCCCATGTGGGGGTTTACGACCATAGGGGAGGATCCCCTTTATAACAGGACCCCAATATAAGGTACCCCTAATTTCGGAAACCACAATTAAAATGCCCTAAACCCTAAACCCGAAACCCTAAACCCTAAACCCTGAACCCGATACAACCCTAAAAGGATTAGGGAGGTAGAGCAAGGCTTCTGCAGTTTTGGGAGCTTTCTGATTTCAGTGGGTTAGTGGCTCCTCAAGGGTTCAGGAGGTTCCAGAGCTTTGGTCCTGGGGCTCCGTTCAAGACCTTAAAAAGGACAAATTCTAAAGGTTTAGGGTTTAGGGTTCAGGGTGTAGGGCTCAGGAACCATAAGCCCCAAACCTCACGGGAGAGTAGGAATCAGCTGGAGTCTTGGATAAGACAGGGGCATCAGTGGCCCTTCAAAGTCTTTGGGGTGGCGTGGGAACTCTCGCCCCTTCAAAGAGGTTGAGCATGTTGAGCTCCGTACCTAGACACAAAGTTGGATATTCTCTTAGCATGGGACTGGCGACTGCTTAACAACAGGACACTGAGAGATCTTTTCGACCCTGAACCCTCACACATGGAATCCTACCCCCTACACCCCTATGCCTCTGAGCCTAAGTACCCCGACAACCTTATACCCTAAACCCCAAACCCTACACCCTAAACCCCAAACCCTAAACCCTGAACCCTAAACCCCTGCACCCTAAACCCTAAACCCTAACCCTAAACCCTAAACCCTAAACAAGCTGGGGATCTGCTGCACGACAGCGGAGCCCGAGGTTGCGTGGCCGCCCAGGCGGCCACCACCTGTCTCCGTGGCTTGTGAGCTTTCAGGGCTTCAGGGTTTTTAGGG